ACACACACACACACACACACACACACACACACACACACACACACACAAAAAGATGGATTAACATTGTTTGTAGAGTGTGGTGTCGATTGGTATTGTTTGTGTACACAACACAAGTTTACATGCAGCTTCTAAAAACATCTCGTTACCACCACTGTTGAGAGCTCTGCCTGCGCTCCTCTTCTGTAGCTCCTGCTCCTTCCGCTCCAGCTCAGCTGCTTTCTTCTCCAGCTCCTCCTGCTGTTTGATCAGGTTAGCCTGGCCGGCAGCTGCATTTGCCTGGTGGGTGATGGAAGCGCTGCACTCTCAACGCGGTGTGTAATACTGTCACTGCGTCACATTTACCTGCTTGTGATGCAAAATTCATACAGGCAAAGCTCCACACCTAATGTGGAAGACACCAGCTCCTGAGGACCAAATGTTGTCCTGATTTTCTGATCCGAAGTACTGACTCATTACTTTTGACATATACGTATATTCTATGCTACTTTATACTTCTACTACACAAAATTTCAAAGGAAAATATTGTACATTTCACTTGTTGCTAGTTCCTGTTTACATAAAACAACATATATGTACATATAATGTGTTTGTATGATATGATGCAGTATACTACTAATATAGCCAGTAGTATAACAAAATACGTAAAAATGGTTTCACCTGAACTACAACATTGTAATGCGCCGACATGTATTAAGAAGTGACAAAAACATAATAATGTTTTATAATAATAGAACACTTTAAAAAGCAGCCAGTCTGCATAATGAGTAATATTACCTTTGATACTTTAAGTCCATTTTACTGATAATACTTCTGTACTTTTACTTGAGTAACATTTAGAATTCAGGACTCTTACTTAGAGTATTTTAGAGTATGGTATTTCTACTTTTACTTAAGAAAAGGATCCGAGTACGTCTTCCACCACCGCATTTACATAATGTGTTTATGTGAAAAAGAAACCTATATCAGCCTATGTCTTGTTATGTTTTTATACACTTTCAAATATTGATGTATCAGCCTCAAATAATCAAATAATCCTTACTGGTCACGATTCATCCATTCACTCAAACCACTAGCGTATTATTGTCCTCATCTATTGTTTTGGATATTCAAAGTTACGGTCAACCACCAAATACAGATGCACTCTTGTTAGTTGATCTTAGCTGATGTAGAAAATGGCTGAAATGTGATTTCACACCAGCTCATTTAATGTCCTTTACTTGTGAACGTGTGTGTTTGTGACTCACCTGGGCGCTCTGCTCCACTGAGGTCTGCAGGATGGCGGGTTGAGAGGAGGCAGCAGAGATGGGGATGGTCTTGCCAGTGTGGGTTTCCTGTGAAACGAGTGAAGCAATATTGCATTTTAAATACCTACACAGAACTATACATCAAGTCGTTTTATCAAAAACAAGAGGAACAAACCATTTCAGTTGCAGAGAATGGGTTGAACTCCCCAGCATTTTCAGAGGCCCTGCTGGTGGCTTGTGTGATTGACGGATCCTGAAGAAAAAAGGAGAATTCCTTTGTGTTATGTATTCTTTTGTGAAGCCATGACCCTTCATTTACTTGGTGCCATATGTGGGCGAAGCAGAGTCCCAACCAGTACAGGAAGAGCACTCATTTGTCTCACAACACATCAGCTATTAATAGCCTCTTGGCCCTAGTCCACATCGGTCTCAGGTAAAACACAATTTCTTTGTTTTTTTTGTAGGTTTAAGCAAAACGGTGTTTTTTTCTTGAAGTAAATAAGTCACAAAGAGACAAGCTCACCTATTACCATTACTCCCTTGAGCTATTAGATCTGAAAACACCCGGATGTGACAAATAGAAAACACCTGATAAGATCCGATAAACCTACAAAGTGCGCCATTAAATCCCATATTTCCTCCTGAGGATCTGGTTTACAAAATCTACCATTAATGGCGTGTTGAAGAGGAGTCACATTTGATGACTGAATATCAGCAGGCACCTGTTCGCGTGTCTGCTCACCTGCGCAGGTGAGTGAACCTAATAGCCCACGTCCAGCATAAACGCACTGTTTTACAGACGCATTTTAATATAAATGTTCTGTACTACAATGCATGATACTTTATAATAGTGACGTTTCTTAGTCAGGAAATGCAGAGGCCAAACCCAGCAACCAACCAAACAGGTTTGTGTTACAGCATTTCTCTTTCAGTCTTCACTATTCGCGAAAACAGCGTCTTCGAAACTTCGCACACAGAAGAGGACCAAACGCCAGCCTCACCTGGAAGGGATTTGTGTCTACTGGGTCCACGAAGGGGTTGCTGTCTAATCCAGACATTGTAGAGAAAAGTTTATTCTTGTGTATAGTAAACAACAAGCTCCCTTCTCCCCAGCGGCTGCTGCTCCTGCTCCTGCTCCTGCTGATGGTGCTTCTTGTGACACGCTGGGCCTCTGCGCATGCGTCGCTCGAAAGGTGGCCCGCGTCACCAGGAGGCTGTCCCCGAAGCCGTTTCTGATCAATTAATATGTAGTACCTTTATATTTTTAAAGAAATAATTGGTTTAAAGTCTGAATTCAGTCCACTCACGTCCGTCTACAAATGTGATCCAGTCCGTTGTGGTAAACGTGCAAAAATAGTTTTAAAATGTTTTTTTAACTGTTTATTTTGGCTTTTAATTTACCTTTATGTGCTGTCGGAATTATAAACGATTAAACAAACTGGGTAGGAGGTAATTTTACAGAAGAAAATGAGAAGTTAATATGATAGACATATAGGTTGTTTTATTTATGCGAATCAAATGTATTTATGTTGTATTGTTTGTCACTTTCATGCCACGTAGCTGCTTATGTCGTGGTTGACTTCTAGCCAGTGGTGAAAGAAGTACTGAGATCTTTTACTAATGTAAAAATAGCAATACTACAGTGTAAAACATGTTACAAGTAAAAGTCTTGCATATACATAATAGCCTACTTTAAGTATCAAAAGTGAGAGGAATCAATTTACATCTCATTTCAGAATAATACATATTTCATTACTGTATTGGAATAAATTGATGCAGCTTAACCAAGACGTAATTCATTAGCTGATTTTATATTTTGTGTAGATGCTCTAAACCAGTGAAACGAAAAGCTTGTTAAAGTAAAAATTACAAAATTTGCCTCCAAAATGTAGTTGAGAAGAATAAATAAAGCGCCATTAAATGGAAATACTGATAGTACAAGTATCTCAGAATTGTAAAAACAAGTACATGAACTCAGTACACGAGCAAATGTACTTTGATACATTACACCACTGCTGTCAGATGTGCATCTCTGTAAAGTACTTTGCACCTCTTGCTTGAAAAGTGCTCTGAAAACAACCTGAGTTTTTCTAACCAACATGCCTGCTGATACATGATTAGACAGCAAACATGACATAAAACATGATACATAAGTGTAACAACACACAAGGCTGCATCCCATTTAAGGCTATTTACATGTTTTTGATGACATGTTATCTTCATTAGCGCGCTCAAGCACAGAGCCTACATTTGGGTTGGTTTTGTTATAAGTCCTCACAAAAAAAACCTTTCAAAGTAAATAACTAAATGCTGTATTCTCTTTTATTTTAATTACAGGTGGAGACTTTAAACGGATATTTTACTGAACCTCCTAAGGCAAGTTATTACATCATGTTAACATTACATTTCCTGGTTGTACCCCTTTTAGCTGTTGCTGATGCCTCCTAACTGCTTTCATGGTTATTGCCGGACTCTTTGACTCTTTGATATCCAAAGGTGATGAAACAAATGGATTTTACGAAATTTTAATGAAAACAAAATTAAGAATTGTCTGCTCTCTTCAGGCTACATAAGAGGTTAGCTGTATCTCAGGAGCAGTTGACTATGTTTATAATTGCAAAGCCAATTTCTGTTTATACCACAGGCGGAAAATGGACCCCAAAGCATAGATTGTCATTTTTGTGAGGATAAAAATGCACAAGACATGACCCCTGGGTTGAGTAATTCCACCAAAGTCAAATGACTTTACAGGACAGAAGCAGCACCTAAAGGATGAATAAATATAGAAAAGGCCCGCAACATAGACGGCAAACTGTACATTACCTGTTCTTTCAATAGCCCGATTTTTATTATTATTTCATTACCCTGAAGGAGGCAACAGATTGCTAAAGCAACTAAAAAGAAGTGCACAGCAGTGAAGTACAGATCTCCGGCAGGCGTTTCTTCCTCTCCCGTCCTAAACGAAAGATGACAAAAAAAAGGGGATTCCCCCCCACAGTGGCCTCTGACGGGGCCAATTATGGAATAATGGTAGGTGCTAAAATGTAGTGCAACAGTCGGACAATAGTCATTATACAGCAAATTAAGTTCACAACAATAGTTTGCTAACATTAGCTCCCGTTATCTACCGGTAATACTGGACCAAGTAAGAATATTGAAGCGAAACCCCTGCGAGTACTGAATCAAGCAAATTAACTCTGCCTTTCATCTGTAAGAGAAATAATGTGTTTCTTCATTCAAAAGTTACATGGTCTCATTTAATGATTGAAAATTGCAGATTTCCCTGTCTGTGAACACATCTGCACCCTTGCTAATTGTACTGAATGTATCATATTTGTTTGTGGTATCACTGATAATGGATCGGTATCCATGTAAAATTCACAGAAGACATTTTGACGTGTCACAGTAGGAAAAGCGCGCGTAAATAAAACAAATTAACAGTGGCTGAAATCCATTTCACCGCTTAAGTTTCAGCGTCCTGGTATTTTTCATACTGGAGTCAAAATGTCTGCTGTGAACATGTTGAAATATGTCATCTGCAGTACTTTGACATTGTTGCAAAATGCAAAATACTGGAATATCGGAAAGATACACTTAAATGACAAAACCATAGACATTCTCAATAATAAAGACAAAAGACATACTGGTTTTATGTTCTTTCTTGGTTGCTATTGAGCAAACACTTTACAGGAGACGGGGATGGGTTTGGGAGTGGGGGGGGGGGGGGGGGGGGTAACAATAGGTTTCAAGAATAGAATGGCATTTGTCCACTATACTGTACATATGAACTGTATTGTACAATTACAATTGTAGTATGGCTGTTAAGCAGAGAATGCAGGGATTTTATACACATCCAACATTTTTACAGAGCTGGGATCCCCTTTGGCTGGAATAAACACCAGCTGACTTGGTCCCTTTGATGGCATTATTTCCCTTGTAAGGGGGAAAAAAGCAGCACAAACTTACAACACATGAAGTGGTTTTTCTCTTTCTCTCTCTCTCTCACACACACACACACACACACACACACACACACACACACACACACACACACACACACACACACACAAGCTGCATAAGCGCTCGGCACATGCACATACACACAAACAAACATAAATCATCCACCGCCCAAATCCGTACATCTCTGTCCAAGATACTCAAGAAAAAAAGATTAAAAAAAAAAGATAAATATTTGACTTCAACTACCCTACCCAGCAGAGGCTGGTGTTCCGGCTTTGTACAGTATTTATACCTGTATATTATATGCTATAAAGAATTTCTGTGCCATTAAAATTTATTAAATAAGGGAAAATAAATTTGTAGTAACAGATCAACCACTGCTTACACTGATTGTTATGAACTGTAAACTCATAAAGCCGCTAATAATTGTGAGCTTTACGTTCACTGCAACATCAGTGCTGCCTGATGTTGCCGGATTTCTTCTCATTTATTGAAAGTATACTGCTTCAGCTTTCCAGCTCCGTAACGTTCCCTGATGCTTAGTTGTCTTCGGCATATTCCAACATTCCCTTTTCTCTGTCCTCCTGCTCAGTGCGTCTCCTCTTGGCGCCGAGTAAAGAGCTGCCGAGGCACTGTAGAGAGCATGGGTGGCAGTTTAGTCTACCGAAGAGGAGCCTTTCCACTGATCTCCCCCCTCTGGAGGTGGCAACACTGTACACGGCACTTGGGGACACTTTTTTGCAGACTTCAAGAAAGGCTAAGCAAGAGTGCTTTGAGGAGCAGAGATCGGTCATTAAGTTACTTCCCATTGAGAATGTATACGCCTGCCAGGGAGTTGGATAGGGAGTGCTTTGGTGCCCCAGTGTCCTTCATACCATGAATTCATTACTGCCATACAATACCAGCTGCTGTGGTATGTCTGGAGGGTCCCTGCCGTGGCCACTGCCTTCTCTGGAGTGCCTCAGGGTTGAGTGCTTGGCCCCTTTAAGTTTCTGTTTGCCCTTTTCTGGATTGAAGGTGCCTCTGCTTGTAAACTGGGGTCTTTCGTCATATGCTCCTTCCTGATCTGCTGTAGGGCTACTGTCTATGCTGTCGGATCGGGAGGCTTGAGATACATTCAGAGCCTGGGCCGGACCCGAGCCTACGGTGGAAGACTTGGAGTGGAAACGAAAACGCCGGGTGCTGGCAGAGGACGAAGAGGGCGATGGGTGGAAGTGTGATGAGGAAGAGTAGGAGGAAACACTGGAGCAAGAGTCCACAGAGTCCAGGGAGTCAGGCTGCCGGCGGAGAGCACGGCGTCGAGGGCTTGTCATGTCAGACCTCCGAGGCCAGGGGGAAGTCAATACTGGACCTCTCTCTGCAATGAAAGGCAAAGACACAGTTAGTTTTGATCTTTTCTCTCCAATTATATGTAAAAAAACAAACTGAAAGGTAAGCTGTGATTTCCTGCTTAGTGACACACCAGAGAAGTCAGAAATGGTTCCCTCAGAGTCCACATTGAGGTTTTCAGAGCTGTCGGCTGTACCAATAGAAGCCTCCGACTCAAGGGTCTCATCATCCGATGCTCGTGGCTCCAGAGTCAATATCTCAAAAGTCAACTCCTCTCTGCAGAGGCAAACAAATGAGCTGAACACACATGTTGAGACACAGCTAACAGTAATAACAATATTTTTGTAAATTCAGTTCTTCAAAACAGTCATTGTCCCGTTACACTTTTTTTTTTTATAATCTGGAGTTATTTACGTATCAAGAAACTGTTGTTTTCAGAACATTGTAAGTGCAGTGACGGTGTTTACTTCTCTTTCTGCAGGCTTTCAATTTGCTCTGTCAGCACTTTCTCTTCCTGCTGCATGGCCGCCTGCTGGTGCTCTGAAATTTTGGAAAATGAGTCCTCTCCTCCTTCGCTGCCAGTGTTTTCTATCACGGGTTCAGCCACAGATGGGAGCCGCGGACTAACCGGAGGCGAGGGCGTGTGGTAGCTCAGTCGCTGCACATGGCCTTTTCCCTGAGAAACAAGTCAGAAGCAGATGTTGTCTTCACATCATGTGAATAGTACGTTTATGCTCAATAAAAAAAAGCAGCTGACCAGCACTAAATGAAAACAGTTATGCTGTCATATACAGTACATTTCACCACTTTTAGCAAGCAGCTACTCACTCGCACACGCAGTGAACAAACCACATGAAACGACCAGCGTTTAAAAACAGCACAGCAGCACTGAATAATTGATCAAACACGAAATATAGATACAACACAACGATACACAAACGTTACCTTTTTAGCTGCATTTGTCTGCTTAAAGCAAAAGTGAGAAGTAAAAAGAGGAGGAATCAGTAATGACAAGTTCATAAAAGTCGGTTTTAATGTGCAGCATCAAGGTCGGTCGGTTCTAGCAACTGATCTGCTGCCTTTCTCGCTGAGTGGCAGATGATGTGCACATCTCAGTTCTTAGAAGTGAGACTAATAGCAGTAACAATATCACTGTTATGTGATAAAGATTAGGGGTCGACTGATTACGGTGTGTCAATGGTTGATATCGATATGGGCGGCCGATATATAATGCTATAATGCTGATATCATGTTTTTTTCTGTTTAATTTCTTTTTTTGCATCTGATAAAATACAACAATTTATAAATCCAACAAAACTGCAGAACTTAAATGAACATTTAACATCGTTATCGTCTGCATTGTCTCTGTTTGCTTAAGTAGACCTACACTCTGTTTGTAATGCACTTATTTTAAATAAAAATCAACTAAATAAATGTCTTCAGGTTGTTGTTTTTCTGAGAAAGAACTAAAATGTGAAAACTTACATAGTGAAAATTTAAATAAACAACCTTTGGTGGTTTTGGCCTACTTTGTTACACATCAGCTACACTCAGAAGGCTGCCTGCAGACATTTTCTGTTAATCGGCCTTGTGAGCGCAGGCTTCGCCCGATGCCGCTTGTCTCAAAATGGCAATAACCGGCCCGATTCATCAGGCGACCAATTAATCGGTCTATCATCATAATAGATATGATATTTGCTCAGGAAAAGTATGAGACTCCACCAAGGCTTAATGAGAACTTAATTCTGTCCACAATTTATCCAGAGAAAGTAATAACAATTTAATTACATTTTCTAATTTTAGATTTCTTGAGAGTGAAACACTGATATGAGCTATTCAGTCAATACTAAGTTATAGAATACGCTAAAAAAAAAAAGGCTTTTTATGCTCCATATTCTAAGTGGCATAATGTAGATCTAATGACAAGTGATTGCACGATCTCATGACTTTCATCCACAAGAGACAGTTACAACAAACAGAAGCTGAATGAAGTGATGAGTCATGCTTCATGGATGGAGAAGGCAGATGTTAATATTTGAAGAGATGAGACTATGCAGAGGTCGGCACCACAACAACATCGCCACTGGATGATGATTTGGGGATGTAATCCGTGGTGCGTGTGTGTATACATACCACAGTGAGCGCTATGCTCATAAATCTAACAGCTATTAGTACGGGTTTCTGGGTAAAGGAAAGGACAGGTTAGGGAGGACAATCTGGAGAGGAGAAAAACAGCTTACAAAGGCGGAAATCAGGGAAGGAGCTTTTAGGGTGGCTCAGTCAGGAGGATTAAACGGTACAAACAGCTGATTCTTCTGATAACAGTATATTTGTTATGTCATTTACTTACCATCGACCGTCGAATGAGGGTCAGTCTGCACTTGGCCTTATTCTCTGCAAATTCCAGGCTGCTGATGTCCTTTAGTCGAACTTTGTACTTATTCATCTGTTCACAAATGATAAGTTCTACACACCTAAGGAGTGGAAAAACACACTTCAGAAGGACTGGAAATGCTTAACAATGTCACAGCAAAACGATAAGTTCATATTTAGTTAATCAAAAGGCAAACCCTTTTCTACAAAGTCTGATTCATACAGTGGCTCTCAAACAGAAAACAAATCAATAATTGTTTTTCTCAACCATTATTGAGGAAATCTGCAGTGAAAATAAACCAAGTAAACAATAATTTTATTGAAACAATAACATGGCGTAAGTTATGATTGATTTTAAAAAAATGTAAGTTAAGTATTGTATTCTATCTGTCTGTCTGTCTGTCTGTCTGTCTGTCTAGTTGAGCTTTTAGAAAAGAATGACACAAGGCCGTTCTTCGACAATGACAGTGAACCTGACAATATGTTCTGCTGACTTTGGTTTTGACTGATCTTGGTAGCCTTGCATACGGTTTTGTCAATTGCTCCCACATGAAACAGATTAATTTAGGATCCACTCCCGCGCCAAACTTTGTGAACCACTGCCTTAGGCAAAGGCAGAGAATTAATTAGATAATATACATGAAGTGTGTTCTTACGCAGTCGTCTTGCCGATGTCCTGGACACTCTGCAGTGGATCAATGGTGTCTGGACAGCGCAGGATACAGGGAGCAAAAACTATAGCCAAGGCGTTGGCTGACATACGGTTTGTCTCCTCTTGTAAGGCGATCCTGGAAAGCATTAATTTAGTATTAGAATAGTCTACCAGGGAGGAAATAAATCCTACTCTAAGGATTACCATAAGAAGTGATTTTTACCTGACAAGATGAAATATGAGGCGTTCAAGAGTGCTTAGGTGAGTTCTGCTTAGCTGGTCAACAACTGAATACACCGCTCTGATCGTTTCCTTTTTATCCTGCAAAGCTGAGGAGGCATTTCAACAAGACAAATCACCCTTTACCGTTACAGCAAACAAATGCTGCTGTTCACAATAATAAATTGTGATTGTGGACACAATCTCCAATGTGATGCATTTGAAAACCCAATGGAGTTGGATAGCTAAAACTGATCACTTACCCATGGTACGTATAAACTCCTCATACAGCTCGAATGTCATCAGAGGATTAGGCAGGTCTCTCAGCCACTGCTTGAAAGCACTCGCGATAACGTGGATGTTGTAGTCGTCCAGATTCATGCTGTCAACATCTGTGTGGTCACAAGGAGAGTGGAGACCATAGAAATAAATGTCTGGGGGTCATTTGACCGTTACAAGAGAAAATGGTGATTGTTGTTATTGTGAGAACACATGTAAGTGGAGACCTAAAGTTTTGTCGCAGTTTGCTGTGAAGAGAGCAGACACAGGCCACCAGCCCACTGTTCAGCTTATTTTATGTAAACAATGCAGCATTACAGCACGGTGGAATTAGCATGCTAGCTAGCTAACCAGCCAGCTGTTTGCTAGCTAACTAGCTAACAAGTTATCTAGCAAACTGTTTTTTTATTCCAACATACTTTAATGCTGGTTACAGTAAATGAGCTGACCAAAGTTGTCACTCATCTGGTGATAGCAATTTGCTTACCTACGCTGTGACAAGAGTGTGTGGATGAAGCGTTAAGTTGTTAAATTGACTGCTTGTTTTAGTCGTTACTGCAAAACCTCACCTCAGTGATTCTGTGACTCGCTGTAAGTCAGTTTAGTTTATATTGAAGTTACCCCGCTACAACAAACATAAAAATGGCCGCCGCTCTGACCTTCCTGCTAAGATGATTTGAATGGGAATGTCCATTCTGCTACTAATATATAGCTATGGTGCAGACAAACCAACACTTAGTAATCACATTTAATCCTTCCCCACACATGTTTCTCAGCTTTAAAGGTGACTAGAATCATTCACCTGTGTCGAGTCCTTGCTTAAGTTCCTTAATTTTGTTAGTGGAGCCAGGTTTCCTGTATATTCCTTCAGTGTAGAGCCCATGCATCTCAATGAAGTTAATGAGCTTCTCCACTACCAGGGGCACAGCCCTCTCGTCATTAGTCAGACGAGAAACCTCCACTCCGAACTGTCTGGAGGAAAGCTCTGGATCAAACTGTTACGAGAAAAAAATAATACACTGTTAAACACAAAAACATGCACACACTTGAACAAAGAAACAAAGACTAATATTTAAAAATGCTTATAAGAATTGCTCACGTATCAAAAAAAAGTGTATTAGATGGCAGTACTAACACTACCTACTGGAAAGAAACCCACAGAAAAAACAATTAGTGTCTTGGGACATTGTTGGCGGGCGCACAATATGGCCGACTCACCTTCTTGCTGCATTTGGTGGTCGTCTTCTGGCAGCACTTTCTGTGGCAGGCGTACCGGCACACTGGACGAACACAACCAGAGAAATCAAACGGGTCATTTCCTCTATCCACAGACAGGTAGCGCCTCCTCATTATTCAGCAGAAGTTGGTACAAAAGAAAAAAATAACTATCTATATTATCGCTTGAGAGACCAAGGCAGTATTGGCTGGAGTGAGGAAAACATCCTGTGGGAATAAAGGACAAACTGTGTGGAGATATCTCTGCAGAGACGGCGCCCCAGACCCCATGAGTCCAGTTGAAAACAATCTGATTAAGGCTGAGGAGGGAGAGAGGGTGGGGCTCGCTCTGTGAGGCCAGACTGAACACAGCCTGAACACAGATATGGTGTGTTTGTACAAGTTTGCTGAATGTCTTAGTGGAGGAGAGGGTGTTTGTGTCTATTTGTGGTCACATAGATTTGGCACGAGAAGTTGTTTCTTTCAAAACACATTGCCTGACAGTAAATGTATTTAATATTCTGTTGTTGGTTACATCAGGACAATGTTGGCTGTATGACTGAATGAGTTTATGTGTGTGTGTGTGTGTGTGTGTGAGAGAGAGAGAGGCACGGTTCCAGCACTCACAGACATCACTGTTAAGGACACAGGGCTTCTTTCCAACCTTTAAAATTGGTTGGCATAAGCTTTTGGTTGTCAAAACTTAAAGCCGGAATACTTCGCCTCCCAAGACTTCACAAATGTTGTTTTTTGTTCAGGTTCATCTGGTTCTTCGTCAGTTGAATCAATTTTTCACATCGATTTGTAATGTTGACGGGTTACTCCAACTTTTCACCCCGCAGTTGAACAACTTACTTTGCTTCACCTCTGTCGCTAAAACAGATTCCTGTGCGCACGAGAGTAATGCACAAACGCACGTGCAGCATTTTCTGGTTTCGGTTCTGACTGTAACAGCAATATTTACATGTCACCAATGAAACAAATGGGGTACGGTTCACATTTTGCTGTTTGATGTCTTTGTCTTTTATATGTTAAATACGTTTTTTGCCACCGATGGCAAGCACAGGTCGAGAATATGTTTCTGGTTTCTCAGAATGTTTGCCAATTACAACCTGGCAACCTGAGTCGGACTGGCAAGACTCCCGAATGGCTGATTCATTCCATGCTGAACTGACCGGTGTTCATAGAGCTTTTATCAATCAGTTTCTGATGTCAGTGGTATAGTTTGACTCATGTTCATGTCAAGTTGAGAAATGGTAGTGATATTTTTTCTATTAAAACTACTGTTGTATCAACCCAAATATTAATCACAGGGGGTTTTCCTCCGTGTGTGAGATGTTGGTGCTTCTAGAAACGCATAAATAAACACATATTGCAATTTCAACTTCACATATATTTTAGGGTTGCAACTTTATAATCAATGAATCTGTTGATAATTCAATTAATAAACTGTCGGAAAATAGAAAAAAGCAGTAAATTAGCTGGAACCAGCAAATATTGGGGATTTTCCTTGATAAATGACAATCACTTTATTCAAATTGTAGAGGAGGAATTTTCTGTCAATTGAATCAATAATTATTTCAGCACATGAATATTTTACTCTTCAAAACTGCTTATCAAAAAAAGATACATTTTCTGAGATCCACTGTATGAAATTCAGGGATTCTCAAGGTCTGCTAAATCTAAACTTGTGTGATGTTTTGCATGCACACTCACGTTTGCACACACAGGCACGGTCCATCATCCAGATGAGCGATGAGCAGTATTCACAGTATGTGGGGATGCTGTACTGGGTGGACTTGAAGATGTGGCCGTTATGTTCCTCCACCTGCAGAGAGCAGCACAGCACAGGTTCAGGTTCATTTGAAGTTCACGTGCATATTTCCTTTGACATTTACATATTTTTATTTTTCTTGTTTTAATAGCTTTTTCTATTCTGGTGTCTGGTGTATTTATATCTTGTTATTCCAAACAGCAAAGCGGGGTGTAAAAGACTGGCTGTTAAAGCAAAGTGTTGTCTTTCCTCTGTTAGTTCTGAATAATGATGAGGATGAAGAGAGACTTACAATGTCTGTGTCCTTTTTCCTCCGTTTTTTGCGTTCAGGTTTAGGTACCTGCTGTAGTAAAATAAAACACAAAACAGAACAACAGATATGTTTTTGCATTAATTTAGTTTTGTCACTGTATTAAATGCATTATTTGGAAATATAAGCATCATGTAAAATAAGGATAAAATCTCTAGAAACGTACAATCCAGAAGGCTTCTTATACACCAGAGTACATGACATTTAAAGTTTGTAAAGATATGTAAAACTTTTCTGACACATTCAACTTACTTTTTGGATGCACAACAATTAACACACGTGTATTTCTTTGAGCAGAACAGAATACATTTAAAGGAGCACAAACTATCTTTTAAACAGTTTAGCCATCATCAAAAACCCTGTTTTCCATGAGGCTGTGAGTCTTTACCTTGCTGGGTGTGCTGTCCAGAGGCTTGTACTCGGTCATGAACTCATCCAGGAAAACCTTAAAGGTGTTGACCCACACCGTGACAGGAGACTCTCTCCAGTCCCTCTGCTCCTGTCGCATGGTCTTCTCCAAGATGTCCTCAAACAGAGCGTAGAGGTCTTTGTAGCGGATACTCTTACCATCATCCATCTGGGGAGGAAGATGACGAGGTCACAGGAAGAGAACAGTATTAATCTACTTTGGAAATAATGTTCTAATCCTTTATCTGCTATAACGTAAAAACTACTGTGATTTTATTACAATTTTGATTGTAATGCATTATAAAAAAAAAAAAACTTATATTATATTACAACTATGGAATTATAAAACACTATGGTCCTATATATTATAGGATCAGTGTAATTATACAGTGCTATAAACAGTTTATGAGTATGTTTATAATATTGTTACCAATCATGTAAACAGTGTTGACAGCACTTACCGCAAGCGCTGTGGAGTAAGAGTTGAAGATGTTCTGACGGAATTCCTTCAAAGCCTTTTTAAACACGACGTCCACCATGGTGTCCTTCTTACTGTCCTCAGTGTCCAAGTCGTTGATCTAAAACAGGAACACCACAGTCATCGTTGTATGAATATGAACTTCCTGAAGTGTTGAGACATCAATAATAAAAACACATACATTGTGTTCATCTGGAGTTACTCTCCTTGTGAGGATTTTGAGAGGTTGAAGTACACGTGTAGGCGATACAATCATCTTTACCCACATGTGTCGAGGGAATGAGAGAGAGAGAGAGCATGTTTGTCTGTACCTTCTTCATGAGGAAGTCATTCATGCTCCTGTAGTCGTTGGCGCAGTTGAGGATCTGCAGCGCGTCGTTCTGCCACTGAGCAGGCTCCAGAGCCACGCTGCTGATCTTAACGCTGCGCCGCCGCTTCACCTTGGGAGACGGCTCCTTGTTCTCCTTCAAGTCTCTGAACACTCGATCCAAAATCAGGTCAGGACTGCAGGGGGGCGACATGTTCTCTTGACCTGCTGTGTGGAAGGGAACAAAGGATTTGTGCAGGTGAGTCAAATGAACTTCAGGTGCATTCAAAGACAGTATTTAAGCACCCAAAGTGAAAGTCCTATTAATTTGCTTTTGGATAACACACCTTCTCCCAGCAATGGCCCAGTGTCCCCATAGTCTCCATCCGGGGAATCAGCCCCGCAGATCAGCTTTTCTCTGGATGTCTTCTTATCCCCATACTTTGTCTTGCCCCAGAAACGCATCCTACGACCCCTGTTCAAACTTAAAACAGAATTGAGACATTCTTTGATTACTGATGGAAAATTGAGATTAAAATGTAAATAGCTTCAAGTGACAAAACAGTACTTCAAGTTACTACGAGGAACTTTAACTGTGTGTTGATTTTGGAGGTTACTGTGGACAAAAGCAGTCGTGTTTCCAATGAGTCCCTTTAGAAAACGGCTCATTTGACTGCAGCAGGGTCTGGCGGTCTGCCCCGCTCACTCCTGATTCTGGCTCTACTGTGACTCCCTTTCCTCCAGCGGGCCCATTAATACAACTTGGGCCTCCAGCAGCATGACGTTTGAGTTTGACCCAGTGTCACTGATGCCAAGCATTGAGAATATTATAGAGAACTATATAGAAATAGCCACTCTTCTTGCTGTCTCGTTTATTATTATTATTATTATTATTATAGGTCATATAGAGGCATCATTATGAAACTAAGACTGTTTCATAACCAGTTAAAAGTTCCTCACAGTAACTAACAATTTATATTAAGGCCAAGACATAAAGAAAAACTTTCAGGTAAAACTCTGTGTGGCAGCAATGCAGAGTTGAGGAACAAACCTTCCATCTTGAGAGTTCTTACGCATGGAGTCCTCTTTGATCAAATCTCCTGAAGACATGGTTTTCTGTATCTTCTTTTGCTCCTTAGAGCTGGCAGGCTGAAATAACACCAGGTTGGAGAAATGTTAAAAACACACCAAAAAGCCAGACAGCCTCTCTATTATGAATATACATTCAGCCCCTGAGTATATTATGATCTGAGGACAAGTTCGAGCCAGCAGAGGGCAGCATCACAAACCTGCAGCTGCACCAGCCACATTAACCTGACGTCTTTTAGGCATCATTACCGAGGTAAAGAGCAGTTAAAAGATATTAGGAGTGTGTTAGATGATGAAGACCATCAAGAGTGAATGATGACCTTTTTCAAGGATTCCCAAGGTCTGACTCGTGACTAGTGCTAAGAGAGGAACTATAACCAAGTGACATGCAAACATTGTTATTCAACAAGGAAGAGAAGAAGTCAGTGTTACAGCTGTAAGAGAAACAGAAGCCAATCGTGTTAGAGAAGCAACTAAGTTAAAGGATTAGTGTTGAAAGGGAAAACATTTGAAATGCCTTCCCCTCTTATGGAAAGTTTAAGAAAATTTGTTGAAGCTCAGTTTGAGTCAGTGGTGTAGATCTATGCTCTCTCTGGGGAGGGGGTTAGAAATGTCAAAGACAAGCCACGCTCTAAGACCGTATAGAGGGCCACTGATGGCTTGGATGGCGCCTGTTACCATGTCAGAGTCACTGAAACAGGACTCTCTCAAGCCCGTCTCCGTGGAGCTCTGTTTGGCGAGCGGCAGACTGTAATGACGGGGGCTGCTGCTGTCGTCGTCATAGTCCTCGTCTGAATCGCCCCCAACTGAGAGGGTGGGGGCGCGGGTGAGGAAGTCGGAGCGGGTGCGTGCCATTCTAGCTTTCTTTTTTTGGCCCGCTCTGCCAACCTGGAGTTTCATCAGAAGTGATAACAGCATGTTTTAAAAAGGAGCCTTTAATAACCTGAAAAAGAGCTCCAGTGCATTTTGTTCTTCATGTAGGTCAACTGTGGTGTTTAAGGTGTAAGATTTGGGGCTGCCAAGATATATTAATTCATTCACAACACAAATAAGGCACTCCTGCGAACTTGCAAACGCATGCTTTGTTCTAAAAAGTAAAAAGGAGAGTTTGCTTACATCCCGAGTTTTTGCCCCTTTAGAGGGCTTGACGACGGGTGACGGTGCTTCTCTGGGAACGGCTGCAGGCGTTTCTCTAGAAGGACCTTCCCTGTCAAACCTGCTGGACAAGAAGTGGAACAAATGTAAATACATAATGATAATAATGCACCCTTTGAGAAGATGATTATGTGGTTAGCTAGAGCATCTTTTAAATTAGTATGATGGTATCATTTCTGGTTTTCAGAAAATTGAGAGGATCCCAATTAACGTTGGTGCCGTCTATCTGTTACTTTCAACACATTCTTCTCAGTGCCCCTGCATCAAATCCATAGTATGGGGCAGCCTCTGCTACACTGAATTTAGTAAGAAGTTAGTAAGAAGTGTTCAAATTCTTCACTTAGCACTCTAAACTTTACATGAATAATTAACGTTACCATGATTAATTCTATTATATATTAAATGTTATACATTAAATGGAAACTTGTTTTATTGATTCATTCATTTATTTGTTTGTTTATGGTTATCGTGACTTTGCATGTTTTTTTTTCTCTTGGATTTTGATTAATAGTAATGTATTGTCATTATTCCTACAATAATTCTATTTATGATTCTTTACTTTTTCTGTACTTTTTTATTTCAAAAACTTTTACTTGTTATGCACCGAAAGAAAAGGTAAAAACCTGCCTGGCAAAAAACTTGGTTCTGATAAAGAAAAACACCACATAACAACAAAAACATACATAGTGCAAGCAAAGAAATTTAATTTAATAATAAGTACATTTAATAATATTAGTGTAAAATGTATCAATCCATTACTCACTTTGTAAATGTGACTTTGTCCTTTGGAGAGAAGAAGATGTTTGGCTTGTCCTTCAAACTAACTGTGGTGCCTTGGTCACTTGGTGTCTTCTTGTTCGCTGTTCTCGCTCTGGTTCCTCCTCCATCTTTGGACTCCAGCGTGAGTTTGGGCGCCCAGCCCTCAGCAACGAGCCTGCTCTCCTTGCGTCTTTCTCTGGGAACAGAAGCAGGTGGAGGGGGCAGGTGCGGGTGAGGGGCGGTGCTCTGGATGTCCACACCCGGGGGAGAGTGCACTGATGGGGCCGTGGAGTCCGACTGTGTTCTGGCAGGAGGAGCGAGCTCTGGTGTTCTCTCGATCAGCAGGGAGCTGGGTCTACGGCGCTCCCTGGAGGTTGCGGCGCCACCAACATCTTGTCCACCCTGTCGACTCTGCTGTATCCTGTGCAGCGCTTCTCCTCTTTGTTTTTCAAACATGTCTCTCTCGTACTGAGCGAAGTAAAGACGCTGCTGCTCCAGCGCTTCTTTCTGCTGTCTGATCTGCTCCATCATCTCCTTCTCGTTCTGCTGCTGCTGATTACGCTGCCTCACCTCCTTCTCCTCGTTCAGTCGCACCAGCTTCTCGATGACCGCCTGGTCGGCCTGAGGGCCAGAGGTGGAAACAGGGACGAGAGCCGGGTCTGGTTTCGCCCCCGTCTGAGCCTTGGAGTCCCGAACCACTGCAGGGGGACGGACAATATCACTCAGCTCTTGGCTTAGTGGTGTTTCTTTCTGCATGCTGATGACCACCACAACTGGTCGCCGCGATGACTCCCGCCTCTCTTTGAGAAGCTTGGTGACAGTGGTGGTGGAGACGGCCGCCTCCGTGTTTTGTTTGGGCTTTTCAGCAGGATGACGGGAGACGGCTGTGCTGCCCTCACTAGCAGGGACGTAAAAGGTAGGGAGGTAGTTCTCCATTTTGGGCGGATGTGTGGGGGCAGAGGGGGCTGCCGGATCCATTTTGGTCTGGCGATGTCTGCCTTGGTGGGCAACTGCATCTGTCCTGTGCGGTTCGAGTGGCCTCGGGCTCGATGAAACAACCTCCACATTGGGCTCAGGTGCTGGAGCTGCTGAAGCAACAGGGAAGCAGAGGTCCTCACTGTCTGTCACCTCTTCCACGGCCTTGGGGGCCTCGTCTTCCATGCTGAGAAGCTCGAAGCTGCCTTTGGAGCTCTGGCTGTCGGGAGTGCCCTGGGGTGAACGAAGAGGTGGCGTCGCCGGGGCCACCAGCTCTACAGACCAGCGGCGTTCCTCGGACGGGGATGAGGCTCCACCGCTGGTCGCCCGGACCTTGAGGAGCTCCAGGCTGAACTTGGCCTGCTCCAACTCTCTCATCCGCCGGCTCTCTCTCTTGGCCCGAGTGGTTTTCTGGCTGGGCTCGTCTAAAGTTCTGGACCTCTCTCGCACCACCACGGTGGATGTCTGGATCGAGTCCGATGCTTCAGTTTGCGCTTTAGAGGGGCCCTCTCTCGTCCGAGCATGTTCTCTTCCTTCTCCTTCCTCTCCGACGGAGCCCTCATGGCTGCTCAGGATTTGGAGGCTCCTTTCTCGCTGCTCGTAGGAGCGATCCTCCCACGTGCTGAGGTCCAACCCCATGATCCTCTCAGGAGGCTCCTCTTCTGCTCCTGGCGAGAGACTCACCTGGCCATTCTGTAGTTGAAGCAGCTTCTCCTGCTGCTGCTCCTTCTCCTCCCTCAGTCTCTGTTCTCTCAGCTGTTTGAAGCTGTCAATCAAGAAGGCATGGTTACAACTTTAGCTGATGTCAAACTACTTCCTACTGCTAGTATCAAGATACATTTTAAACAGTTATTCAGAACAAACTCAAATATTGACCAAAGTTAAAAAGTCTTTCTCTCAGTGGCTCAGCTGATTGTAGAGCAGCTTTGGGTTGCTTGCGTAATGGCATGCTTTTACCAAGCCTGGTCAATAAGCACACTGAACAATGACCAAATACACTGCAGGCAGGAGCTGTGTGCAAAGATTAATCTGGCTTTTCACCAGCTTGAGCAAAAATCATGCAGAAACCTGTGTGTTACAGCTTTATAAAAATGCTAAAATGTTTGTTTTTGATGAATTATATGAAGGTGCTAGTGCTCAGGAACAGGTGTTTTACAGCATGGCTTACCTCTGCCTGGCCAGGTAGCCTCTGCTAATTGCCTGTAGTTGTACCACAGCGCCGTACAGACGCAAGTAGGTGTCTCTGGCTTGATGACAGCGCCAGGCCGTCTGAATGACCAGAGCTGCTGTGCAGCGCCGGTAGAGCCATAACCTCCACGCCCTCTGCAGCACCAGAGCAGCCTCCCTCCACAGCCTGAACCTGTGGCGCTCCCTGTAACCTCGCCACTGTGTCTGCAGACACAATGCTGCCCCCTCCTGGACATGAGGGCTATAATCCTCCTCCTCGTCTATGGGCCGGTACAAACGCCACCATTTCTGTGAGGGGATGATGATAATGATGTATTATTTTTCATACAAACTGTGATTTATTTTTCTTTTAGTCACAACATATGTTCCTGTTCACTGACTAAAGACAATCCATTATAAATATAAGCATCTTTGCTCAATAGGTAATCTCAATTGTCTTTTATGGGACATAAAAACGAATTTAATTCCACCTGGACTGGGCATGTCTGTGAGTGACATGTTGATTTGATCTGTATTTGAGTTGGACATTCACACAGATTTCAAATCAAACTTAAAATATTTTCCAGTTTAGGAACTAAAATAAAACATCCTTGATGTCAAAGGACACCTTTTGGTCCTTTCATGTCAAACGTAGTGCTGCACTGAGCTAGGCCAGGACAGCGGGCATTAAATCAATACCACAACGTTATTACTAATATCTTTCTGCTATTGAGTATCACAATATTGCAAATGTAAGCAAAATCATAATAATAATATGATGATTGATGCAACAAACTATGTTTCATAGTTATGCATTACATCATACAGACCTTTTTCAGCTCAATAAAACAAATAAATAATAAATCGTTTGTAGGAATTGATTTAAAATTAGCACAGAAAAGATAATTTCTAAAACTGCATTTTGTAAAAGTATAAATTGAATTGCTTTTAATTTTACCTGAAAGTCAATCAGAAATAATACAAAGAGGGAAAAAAAACACAGGAAAAAAAAGAATCACTAAAGAGTGATTTAAATCCTACAGAAGGAAAAGACGGGGCTTAAAAGCACTGAACTGTACCTGGATGCAGATCGCTGCTTCTCTCATTCTGACAAACTGCTTTCTCTCCAGCAGGGCTCGGAACCGCTGCTGCAGCGCGACGATGCGTCTGAGGACTTCGGCATGGAGAACGGCCTGCAGCCGCTGACGCTCAGCCTCCCGGAAGAACACCTGAGGGGAGGGACCATGATGGAGTCAGTGCGTGGTAACACACACACACACCTAATGAAGAACGAGGTTGTTAAAGAGATGTACACACACACTCTTTCAAAAAGCTCTGCTCACACACAAAGCTCAGAGTCAGAGATCGCATACATGGTCACAAGTATGTCAGGTATGATCCTCTAATTATATAGACAGCATCCAAAGGCCAGGACCCCTCCATCATGACTCATACATACCAACCAAGACCAAATATGGGGCACTGTCTTCATTACATCCTTCTATTCCAGACGGAGGATGCTTTCAGGTGATATGAGTTTATCCTCAACACAAACCTTTCCCTTTGTCTATGACTCTATTTATAGCTCGTGAAATTCAAAGGTTTGATAAACTAAAAGAGTTTGAGTGATTTCAAAACCCCACATTATCTTAAGTAAATCAATTTTGGGACTTGGACCGGCATTTTCCAGATTCCTAACTGCCTCAACATGCATTATAACATAACATAAAACCTATAATAACATACAGTGTACAATGTGATTTCTGAGAGCTGAACAAAGCTCAGCTGTGTAACATTCATTTGTAAAGAGGAACACGTTTTTTACATGCTATTTGTACAGTAAAGGATGCTTAACAGACAGGGATAATGTGGCGTATTTAAAGCAAATGTCGCTTCATGTTTTTAACTGTATTTGTTTATCTGTGAATCTAAAAGATCAGCAAAGAGGAAAGGAGGGAGAAGGACTGAGGGTACATACCATTGTCTTTCCCACTTGGTACCCATCTGGTTCGAGGTCTAGCTGGTCCAGACTCTGCTGGATGCCGTCTCTGGTGGCACTGGTGCACTCTGGGAGCAGCACACTGAAGTGATGGACAAAATCCTATCAAGAAAACAAGGAAAGGTGTTAATGAGAAATATATGTATCACCCGTCAGTATTCTATGTTTGTTGACTTCAGCACAGCAGGGGTGGCAAATTTTATCGATTGTGGACCAAATACAAAAAAACATATGGAGTCACGGGCAAAACAAAAGTGAATGCAGAGTTTACAACCAGTCACACTGAAAGAAAATCAGTGTTTCTACACCAGAAAATAATTTTCTATCAAAAATAACTACACAACACGACTAAACAGTTTAATGTTTGACATTACAGTCGTTTACTGGTGTGCCCACATATTTCAAAAAGTATTTCTGTATCCGCTACTCTTAGATTTTATTTAAATGTATTAAAAACGTCTAAACTCTAATACAAGCGTCCACTTAAAATAGTATGATGTTATGTGCACATATGTAAATATGTCAAGTTAAAACAGGCTGAAATTAGCAAATATTTGTGTCTGTTCACAAAAAGGTTCTGATACAAATTTAAATTTAAGATAAATGTAATAATACATCTGTTTAATATCAAGATGGAACAAACACAGCAGGCAGAAATAGTATAATGTTTGTTTCTGTGCCAAGAGGTTAAGACAGATAATATAACTAAATGTAGTCGACATCTAGTGTTTAAACTAGGATGTGCAATGCCAAACAGCTTGGGCATACTTCAAATAAATTGCACTGTTGGTATATTGCACATAGTTTAAACACTAGATTTTGACTAAATTCTGAACCTTTTGGCACAGAAACCAATATTTCAACATTTCTGCCCTAGTTTGGCCACCCCAGCAATGCAGGATTAATTGGTTGGGGATGTTCAACGCTGTGGCGCTGAATGTGAAATAAAAGTCTCGACCAGCAGCAGAACCCAAAGCAGCCTCCTGCAGCATCTCTTGTGCAAAAACAAACAAAACAAAGGCACATGTGGTTTCAGGTAAAAGTCCATATTTGCAGGGGTTCAAACATCATGGCATAAATATGCTGAACTCCCACTCTTCAAACTGAGGGCCATTGTCTGAATTCAATACACTCTGGGCTGCAGGGGGGTGGTTAGGGAAACAGATGCTGTGTTTATACAATTACAAGCATGGGGAGTGCTTCAGAGACCCGAGCACAATGGAGAGGCTCTGTTCTGAAGAGTCTGGAAACAGCAGACTCCTCCAGAGTGATACCATGCCCAAGATATTTCTCATTAGTGCTGACCGCAGCACTAAATATGTTTTTGGGGAATTTCTGATAAATGAAGATGTCTGCTGCTAAAATCATCTGAGTGAGCTCATCAAAATAGTTAGTGTTATGGGTTTTGCACTCAGTAATGTAGATATTAGAGGTCAGTCCACACAAATAACTAAACACATACACACTCTCACATCTGCATGCTGGACACCATTATAGAATTCAAAACCTGCTCTTTAAACTAGTATTCACTTTAACTTATCTTTACTGATTTCAACCTGCTGCCTGTCATTGTTGATTTGGTGTTGTATTTCTGGTGCTTGTTGTTTATTGTATATTTTATTATTGAGTTCATGTAATGTGAGGTGGCGTTGAAAGGCACCATTAATTAAAATGTATTATTAAAGTAGGGCTGACACAATATCAGAATCTCACTACACGATTATCGTGGCCAACAGAATTCATGACGACGATATTATCACAATATCTATAGAACATTTTAAAACATAATGATAAAAATGCTATCAGTCAAATTAATCTTAAACTTTGTTCATTGTACGTTATGACTCTTTTTTGGCAAATTATTTGCACTAAGAAAAATGAGTGATGGGAGGTGGATAGAGAGTCTGTAACCATAACTGTGTACATAAAATCAATGCAATACTTTGTGAGTAGACTTTGTAGCTGTTCAAGGTGGAGGTAGTTTTGATGAGGAAGTAAAACACATTCTGATATTAAAATTCATATTCAAATAAAATCATGTGAGAAGTTTAAAGGACCGATGTCTCTTTGTTGAAACTAGTAACAACTCGTAGACATCTGAAACATGACAAGGAGCCTCAACTACATTGATTTTTTGCGAGGGGTCACAAACAAACAAGGTTCGGAAGCACTGGTTTAACTTTTATCAATGTGTTTTATTTTTAAGTGTATCATGTGTGTTTTTATGTAAAATCTTAAAAGTAACTTGTGATTATAGCTGTCAGATAAATGTAGTGTAATAGAGTAAAACAGTTCAATACTTTCCTCTGTAAGTAGAAAAGAAGTATGAAGTAGCATAAAGTGGATATACATCAGTAAAGTACCTCAAAAAAGTGCAGTACTTGAGTAAATGTACTTAGTTTGTAGCCCAGCAAATAAAACCTTAACTATCTACACAGCTACAGTGGATAATACTGTGGGAGCTACATGGGAGAACAATTTGTGATTTGGTGAAGTGACTCCTCAATAAACCACCACAATGACGTGACTGGCACAAATGAACATTCAAGACCACAAAATGGAAACTAATGGAAGAGAAAAGTGGAGTGGGAGTAAGCCACTCCCACTTGTCTCCGTCCAAAGACTCACTTCCAACCAGCATTAAAACATGATCGGCTTTATTAGTCATACAGCATTTCTCGCAGGGTTGACATCATTCTAACATGAGCCAATGTGGTTAAGATGGCTGCCACGCCACGTCCCACATAATTCCATCTCGACACAATGAACCGCGACTCAAACAGTGACACGTTTCCTGGAGATGAATTCATCGCTGGCACCTAAACTCGTGGAAACCTGAGTGTCGTTTTAAAGTTTTGGGATGTGAGCATGGATTGATAGTGCATCAGTGCTCTGGCCTGCACACGCCTGCACGGAGGGAACATGGTAATGCAATCTGCTGCTAAACTCCTTTTAACATTTGGCATATCCACTGTTTGCTTCATGATGAACATGATACTTGGACTTTCTAGACAAAGACTAGTGGATGAAGTGGGTCTGTTAGAACTCTCAGGAAACTAACATAATGTAAAGGGGAACGGCATCAATTTTACACATATAGGTCAATTCACTAGTCCTGTTCAGTACTACTCAGCTTGTACAAGCTGCTGTATGATGTCTTCTGTGGCTCTGGAGGAGCGGTGTCATGTCTATTTTACTCTAAATGGGACCATCTACTAAGAGAACATCATTCTGTATTGAAGAAGACTTGAAACTAGCTATTGAGAGCATAAACTCATGTTTACAATGTTTACTCAGGTAATAAATCAAGTGTAGAGTAGAGTCTTTTTCTCATGGACTTCTATACAATCAGACTTCTTTTTGCGACCAAAGGAGTCGCCCCCTGCTGGTCAGTAGAGAGAATGCAAGTTTTAAGACACTTCCGCATCGGCTTCACGCTTCAGAACCGGTGGTTGCCGCCTGTTTCTGACACATTTATTTGTCAGGCTGGGCTCGGGAAAAAATATTTTGCAATATTTTTACTAGGTTGGAAACTAATTTTAACTACTTTAGATACTGTTGAATAGCTATTCTCTAATCAACAGATCCCATGTTTTGTGTGCAATATCTTAATCAGCATATGTATCGAATGATTACAGCTTTTAAATAAATGTTATGAGGTCCAAAAAAGTGTAATATTTTCTTTTGAACTCAAGTAAAGTACAAAATTAATATACTTTCACTTAACTACTGGCTACTTCTTAAGTGGTAAACAGTAACACCCCCAAATTCTAGTGAACTAAATGTCTCATGTTTCCTGTATTTGTTTATCTCCAATTGCTTATTTCTTTCTTATTTACTGTATTAAAATATAAAGATCAAACACATCTGGACTTGGCTGTTTAAAGAGTGTCTACAGGGTGTAAATGTGTTTGTTACCTTGAAGCTGTACTTGATGTTGTAGCCCGACTGTCGGATGCGCACAGTCTCCAGCATACCTGTGTAACGCAGCTGCCTCAGCACCAGGTTATCATGAAACCTTAAGGGCAGCTGAGAAATGGGAAAAACAGATAATCGAGGAGGGGAGAGGGGAAAATGACAGAAAAAGGGAGAAGCGACAGATGGCAGAGGTTACAGAGAAGAAGAGGGGGGAAATGATAAACATGCTTTAGAAATGCTCAAACTTTAAAAAAGGAAATGAAAAATGCTTTGAACACTAAACCAAAACAGTCAAAGTGGCAGCAGTCTGGAGTGAGCACACGGTACCTTGTCTGCATTGGAACGGATACACTTGACAAAATACGGCTCAGACTGACCCAGAGTCTCCATCAGCATATTGAGGGAGGCCTAAAGAAAGACACGCAAAAACAGAAAAGTTAGATTTGAATATAAAGGCACATAGAGAAGCACACTGCTTGTGTTGCTCCACAGTTGAGACAGGCGGAAGTCAAAGTCAGAAATGAATAACTGCTGGTCAATCCAGTAAATCTCTCAGCCGCAAGATTAATGTTGTTGCCTGCGATCATAAATACAAGCAATATGTCCACGTAAGCATGTGGTTCTGCAGGAGAAAAAAGAAAATGATGTGTAGTAGCTCCATGTGCAATCATTGTGTGTGTGTAAACAAATGCACATGTGTGTCAGCAGCGTGTGTGTGATGATTCAGTGGAAGGCAGGAGGAATTCAGTCTCCTCCTCCTCCTCCTCCATGGGAGATTAAAGCAATCAGCGCAGCACAGGATGTGGGAAGTGAAGTCATCCACACACTGAGGCCAAGGCCTCCTGCCAGAGGGGCCTCGCCACTCAACAGCCAGAGCACAGAGTTCACGTTCAAAGACAGCGGACAGAAAATAAAGTGGGTTTTTTTCTAAGCTGGTTTGTGTTACAGGCTGCATATGAGAGACATTGTTGACCTAAAGATAACCTAATTATTCTGAATGCTAACTGTAGCTGTCAGTCAAATTTATCTCAAATTCGGGGAAGTCTATTCAAAGAAAAGAATCTGCTGTAAAATGCAGAGCACCTACATTTAACAGATTGTCATCTTTTGTTTTCAGCAGTTTGAATAGTAGGAATAAGTTAATTCATGGTTCTTGGGTCTCATCTCATACTAAGTGAACATTAGTGAGGAAAAGTATGTCAGAGAAAGGAAAACTTTCTAACCGAATCAAAAGTCTTTCTTTATGAGACATGTTTTTGTCCTAATTTCCCAGACATGATGTCATACATTTAAGACTTCTGGGTGTGTGGATGAAGTAATATACTTCACACACATTATGGACAAATACAGGGGTAAGAAGACAGTGGACAGTGAAGGCTGTGGGGCAGGCAGAGAGACGGGGGGGGGGGGCGACAGCTGTAAAAGGACACACCCTGTTTTTATCGTATTCACAGCTGGAGGGAGATTCCTCGGTGCAGCTCAGGCTAATCCGGTTGTTTTTATGGTGAGAGCACTGAATGGCAAATCAGTGAGCTCTGCAGTCAGTGTGCTACTGTGTGTGTGTGTGTGTGTGTGTGTGTGTGTGTGTGTCTCTGACCTGGAACTGTGCGCTGATGCTGGGTGGTTTCTTCTTCTTGTGGAGGTGAAGCAGCGACTTGGTGATGCGGTCGTGAAGCGTCAGGTTGCTGAGGTACTTCAGCGACTTGACGTTCAGTAAATGCTGCAGGTGTGAAGCCAGAGTCAGCTGATCATGTTGATAATGTAACACCACATTTGAAGATAAATTAAAGATATTCTGGACTGTACCTTCGGAAGAACCGGCTTAGATTTGTAGTTTTTGTTCCTCCTGTTTATACAAAAACAAAAATAGAAATGTCAGTCCGGTAGTTGAATCTATTTTACGCACTTGTGCCACAAAATCCATCTTTTTGCTCTTGAAATCAACAGTGGTGCTCTTTTTCTTCCGTCAAGTAAAAGGTCAACAAAGTGCTGAATTAACTTCAGAAATTCTTCCCAAGTGGCTCATATTCCTGTCAATAAAGTGGAACTTTATTCATCCCTGTGGGGGAACAGCTTCCCTAAAGAGGGAGGTCAGAGGTCATTGGAGCTGGTAGGAATGTAGTGATCACTGAAGGAGAAGAGGCAGCGCAGATGCTTTCTGACACTGAGTTTGAACTCTGGTCTTTCAGTTTTAAGGATGTCTCTAGGCCACGAGGCCACACTGCTGATGTACATAATAAACATTATAATTATTATATGCGGAAAATAGTTTTGCATTTTACAATCAGAAAGAAAGCTCAAAGAAAAACACAACAAGGAGGAGTTTAAAGCATAATGGTGACTGCGGATGCGTCTCGTTACTGACATGAGGATGTCGTGGGCTCTCTCGAGGAGTTTGCTGCTGGCAGAGTTGACGAAGACGCCGTCTTCTTCTGTGGTGGAGCTGCTGGATGACCTCAGTCGACCCACACGCCCGTTCCAGCCGAGGCCCGGAGAACTCCTTTGGACAAACAATAAAAGCCATTATTTAAAAGAAAAAGAAATCCAAACTTACTTTAGTCTAGGAACCTTTACATTACAAGACACTTTTGAAGCGAACCAAACTTCATATGAATCTTGATAAATAGAAAAACAGAGCTATAGATTATTAAGATTTAAAGGTTTTTTGTTGGTGGAAAGCAATAAAAATATTATTTGTCCTCCCTTCTTTTGTAAATTCAGCATAGAATCCATTCTTAATAAAGAATTATATATTTTAGTTTAAGACTACACACCCGAAAAAATAACCACATCTTTAACACACAGTCAACATAAAGTAAACCCCAAAAGCTCAGCATTATGATGCACAACACACTTCTCACATACAATGTAACTTTTGAATATTATTAAATAGAGTCAACCAGTATTATCCCCCAGTAGGAATGTCACCAATGGGGGCCGCAAGTTTCCATGTTGTTCTCCCTTGGAGAGAGAGTGGGAATTCACTTCACACATGATTTAAATCTCAGACCTCAAGGTGAAACCTAACCACCTGCCCAGAAGACAAACAAAAACTTGAGCAGTCAGGTCATGGTTAAAACCATTAACCAGTCTGAACTATTTCAGCTCAGAGGAGCGGACGAGAGAGGAGGAAAAAGAGGCAACTGAGGAGCCAACGATCTCCAGCATCATTGTATACACACAGTATATCTGTGGCAGTAGAAGTTTATCATTAATGCAGCTCTTCAGATCCATTGGAGCACTTTAGTTTTGTTTCCAGTGTTATAGCTTTTTCATAAGTTTACAAGAATCTCTCCTGCTGAGTTACAAGCCGCCACACACTATGACACACAGACCAAAGTAGCAAGATATGTTAGGTAGCTCATACTGCGTTATTAGCAGGAGGTTGAGTCATTCCTAGACAGAAAACAAGGTGGGAAACGAGCGTGTGGAGAGGGTTTTTAAATGGCTAATGAAAATGAAAGTTAATACAAATACAGAACGGCAGACGAGATGGTTGAGCTTTCTGTGCCGGGGCAGCTGTTTGGGTTGAAAGTGATTTCTGAAATACATAAATATGCTTTTAGAAAGTAGCTTATGCGACTTCCTCTTCAGTATTGGCATTAAAATAAGCCATAACCCTCTCTGTGCTCAGCTCCTTGTGTGCATAAGAAGCAAACATTTAGTTTTTCCATGTTTAAAAGTGCCAAGAGAAAGTTTGCTTTGATTTTTTACCCTTCTTTGGATGGTGATGTAGGTCGCTCCATCACTTTGGTGACTATTGGATGGGTTGCCATGAAATTTTGTACAGACATTCATGGTCACAAGAGGCTGAATCCTACTGACTTTGGTGATTTCTTTAATTTTTCATGGTCAGAATTGTCCTTTGTCAAATTCTTTGGTTTATGACAACAACCTCCGATTGAGGTTTGCTCCAGAAGCGAGTCAATCCCCAAAGACACTCACGATTAAAGTACCTAACTTTAGAGGAAATAAATTAAGTTATTTTGTAAGACAGCCAGGTCTTCCATCATTTGTGGGTACAAATGGTCTGAAGCACTTCTAAATTTGTTTACAGGGTACGAACAAATCCAAGCACAAAAATACTGATGAATCCCGGATATGTGTGTAAACCGCTAAAGCACGGATAAACATATGCACCATTTATGAATGGGGTCGATTGTGAGCTTTATCATGCTAATGTTAGCAGTTAGCTCGAGTTCATAGAGAGCCACTGGAAACCAAAGTAAAAGTCCCAGCACACTTCGATCGTTAAGCCGATTCTGATTTACATTTTTTTAAACAGTTGGCTTACTCTTGGTCAAACCTCAAAATACTGTGTGTTGAATTTGAAATACAGTGTAGACAGAAGCCGCAAATAGAAACCAGGTGTAAAAATACACAACAGAGGTGTGACTGGCTTTTTCCATCACAGCTTCTCTCTGTGGAGGCAACAGAAGAGACCCAGAGGATGCTTCGCCAACACAGTCCACTATCCTTATCGCACTCCCACCGGAGTCGTACAGATTCACATGATTTGTACTACTAGCCTGCAATACGTTACAATAATATAAATAGAAGGCAGAAGATCCACAAAGCTCCAGTGTGTTTATGTAAATCAAAATCTTTGGATATATATGTATTTCTGGGCATATGCGTATGTTTCAGGGCTTATTGAGAATGACCGCATCAGAAAATAATGTTTGAGGCCACAGTGTGTACTAATGCACAAGCACAAATCTTCAGTTATCATCTGGCCGACCATATAAAGAAGACGAGAGAGAATGTCTCCCCAGTTGATCATCGATCTCAGTGAATGGTGATGGTACAACATGCTTCTTGTGACTGTTTATCTCCATAGTCTCTCTGAGAGTCCCATAAAGCACTGCACTGCTCTGTCCAGCAGTCAAGCACCCTGCAGGGAGCTAATATTTATCACTCTCCAAGCACTCCTGTCCAGTGCATAGCTGTGACTTTACATCACAGAGGAAGCAGCTGCATGGGGTTTAGTGCTCTCCTAGTATGTAGAGGATGAGTGTGTAATGTAAGAGAGAGCGAGAGTGAGAGGGAGGGCAGAAGGTTGCTAAATCACATTAAGGGGGGATTTTAACAGCCCCGGACTGAGCTCCTGTGTAACAAAAGCCGTCTTGTACGAGCCGCTCTGTGCCACCAGTCGCTGTCGTGGGCCACTAATCTCACAGTCTACAGCTAATTAGAGGAGGTGTTGGACCGGGGTCTCAGTGGGGGGGGTATGAGAGCAACGCTCAGGGTCACAGCACTCACTCTTTCGTTTTTTTTTGAAAGACATGCCCAGTGGTGAATATCTTTGCTTGATGATTAAAAATATATATTATTTAATGTGTGACAGAGCATCTGCCAGAACGGTATTAAAGGGGTTTGTTGACACTGAGTAGTTCCAGAGCTCTTTGTAATATGTATGTATGATCAAATACTAATTTAACAAGACGCACTGGGGGCCCAGAGGAGAAAACTCCGAGGTCCACAGAGGAGCTTTGCTGCAGGTCGTCCCCCATTCCACTCATTTCCTCTTTTGACAGTCGACTAATAAAGGCATTTTATGCCGGATAAAATCAAAACAAACAAAAAGATTTACAAGGAGTTTATTCTACCCAGTACAACTGAATCTGGGTGAATAGACCACAACAATATAAAGAAATAACTGTACACTGTGCTTTTTTCTAATATCAATATTCTTATATTTTTATATAAATAAAAACAATATGAAGAGTAAATAATACAAAGAAGCAAAAGATGACAGGTAAAATAAAAATAAAGAGGAAATATATTTTAAAATAAATCTACCATATTATGTTAATGAATATGAACATATTTCCATATTCAGCTTGTATCTGAAACACTATTTGCATGAGTAAAAGTGGAGGAAAAAGAACATTTTCCTTTACTGTGCCACAACATCAATAAATATAGACGTTATGGTCAAAATTATATCAACAACTGTACATTTTAATCCTTTATTGGGCATATAATGTTCAGCTGTTGTTGAGAGTGGTATTTGTTTACCTATATGGTAACTGTGGAGCTTGTAGTTTGAGGTGTTGGACTGCAATACATCGTCAGGCGTGCCAACACAGTAATTTGTCCTCAAGTGACAAGTGTGTAGATGCTCCTGTGTCCAGCTCTAGTATTGTTTATTGAATGCCGTCATCTGGAGGACCTGGCTTTGAATTGTGTATATATTTCCACATATAAGTAATACTGTGAGCCTTTGCACATTCCTTGGACAATTTTGCACAAAACTACCACCTCTGAAAATGCACAGCTCTTTCATTTTAATTAAGATATATTGTAAATGTTTTTATAGTTTTCTTTGTATCTTTATTGCAATATTCTTCTACTTCGCTTTAGTTTTTAATTCAGATATAGATTTTATATTTATTGATGTTTCTTGATTTTTGGACTTATTCCTTGCACGTGAAACCCTACTTGTCAATAAACCGGATTCTGACGTAGCAGTAATTTATTTCTTCAGATTTGTCCATTTCCTGAAACACACTGTTCCAGCAAAGCTCAACACACAGACTCTTACCGTGGGGATTTCTCGTTGATGGTGTTGCTTCCTTGAAGGTCTGACAGCGGCGTACGTGGACTCTTTCTGGGCACGCCTGATCACGAACAAACAGGTTGGCATCGTGTGAAAGAACACAAAACCACACACACACACACACACACACACAAAAGATACACAAAGACAAAAACTCAAACCCTTCCCAAGCAAAGAAAATCACCATGTGTTATTGCAGTGAGTGTTTTGTGCCTTTTTATTGGAAATACGATCTAAGGCAGATGATTTGATATTAAAAAAAGATCTGTGAAGTTAATAGTGAGTTTCTCTTGTTAGTGTTGAATTATGGAAGATGATACCGCCGAGTTAATGGCCTGTAGGTTTGCTTAAAACTGTGATTAGTTTTTTAAAATACCAATATTTAAAACACATTTGTTCCATAATCATTTACATAATGAAGTATAGCAGGCGGTGACTATTTAGGTCAGACTAAAGAGAATTTAAAAAAGTAAAACTAAGCAGGATGGGTTTAATGAAGCTGCTGTGTTACATTACTACGGTGTGATGGCAGTGATAAGCCTACAGCTGCTGCTCTGAACCATTCAATCATAGCGGTGAGAACTCTACGGTGAGTGTTAGCCTACTCTAAAAAAAAAAGAGCAACCTGAGAGAGCATTTTATCAGCTGACTTAACCGTATACCGTTTTCTGTTTCATCACTTTGTACAACATTTTCACTCTCTTCAGGAGCTGCAGGGTAGCACAAAACAAAAAGACACAAACACATCCGAGTGTCATGAAAGTGACGTTCTGCGAGAGGAGTGTGTGAGGTCGGCTGTGTGTCCTACACCAAAGCTGCCTGTGAGCAAGTTAGTGATGTCTTATTATACCCCTTCAGTGTTTCTATCACCATCACCAGCCTTTGTGGTATTAGTGAGAGGTGAACTCGGTTGATTTTAGAAGTGTGCTGTGGTGGAAACAGACAGGACTGGACAAGAAAGTGTAGCTGTGTGACAAAACAGAAAGTGACGGACACCTAGAGGTGTTACTGTGTTGTTTCCCCAGACCAAAATTAGCTGATAGAGCGATGAGAGTCATGCATTTCTCAGCTAGCCTTTTCACGAGCACAGTGTAAGACACAGAATGGCTGAAGCACAAGAACAACATGCAAGACAAGACTAAGAACAAATGCATGCAGGTGCATAAGAAAGAGGGAAGAGGGAGACAGAGGGAGCGGAGACCAACAAGCATCTAGTCTATTGATAGGAAATAAGAAATAAAAAACTTTTCTCTTTAAGTTTGAATGATGATTTTGATCTCTTTTGGCTCGACTTTGGCTGCAGTACAGTGCAGTAAAGTTGACGATGTTGGTCAGCCTCGTCCCTACAGTTTCCCCAAGTGATGGTAGAACATTAAAATGTAAGGAGGAGTTATTGTTGTATTGGCAGCCTTACTGTGCTTCTCCTCTTTGCATCTCTGAAGGATCTCTAAGCTTCTCTGATGCACAGGGTGCTGCAGAAAGCTAAAACTATCCACACTTTTCAAAACTGCACAGGGAGCAGCGTCATCATGCCCTTGGAGAAGCAAAACAAAAAAGAAACAAGAGAGAAAAAAAAATACACAAGGAAAGAGAAGGGGGGAAGAGAGAGAGAGACAGAAATGACAGGTTAGACAGCGAAGAAGGAGAGATCAAGAGATGCAGTCGTCTACTGGAGAGATACCTGTGCAAGACTTCAGGAGAGAAGATGATTGACATTCAAAACTGCAGTTGGTGGCAGCGGTAGGATGTTTGTCATTGTAGTTCTGTGAGTAGGTGTTCGCCGCCCAAAGGCACTTCCACACAATGTCTTCTAGAAGTGTTTCTCAGATTCTACAGTCCTTGTGCTATTAGACAAGGTGAGGGTATTTAAAAAAGGTCATTTAACTTTTAACTTAGCCCATGACGATGTGAAAAAAATAAATGAAAGATATTTAAAAGCTTTCAGTCAAAAACACGTTTTGCAGAAATGTTTCAGAAGACATGTGACAGGTTCCCTTAGGCGACTCTGATATCTTTAGAGTTCAGTTAGAAGGATTTCTAAAAGATATCTAAGGATGAGCAAAAGATACAAGGCTTCTATTTTCACACAACAACATCTACATGTGGAACCTAACGTGTAGAAAGAGTCGAGAGGGTGCAGAGTCTGATTCATACGACGGCAGTGCTGAGAAAAAACATCTGATGGTAATATCTACTGCATATCAAGTCTATCTACGGGAAAAGAAGGCATTCGTAGAAAGCCAAAGCTGAGAGAGACAAAGAGCAAGAGCTACTGTAAATACATGGCAGCACTGTGCACACAGTCTACAGAACAGTCACTACTGAAACACAAAATATGGCAGAGAAAAAGTAAACTATAATGAATTGAGAGGCCTAAATCGTAACTGTGTGGCATGTGAGCATACAGTACTGTGCATGGCAGGAAAAACTGAAAAACGAAATGTTTGTAATTTCATCATCAACTCATTTGTTTTACATTTTTCCATCTTCATGCGAGCTGCTTCTGCGGAGTCAGACCTGCTGACAGCAACAACAACAAAAACTGCAGAGGTTTGCTGGTTTACCATTATTCTTGTTGTACTATAAAGTACCTGTGATGCTCACATGCCATTCAGTCAAATCAATGTCATTTCCCACTTTTGCGGTTTCTTTAATGATGTTTTGACGGAGCGAGCACAGATTTTCATACATTTTTAATATCCATTCTAATCCATCTATCACTTAAATGCTGCAAATTAACAATTTAGGCAAAACTGAAACTCAAGAAGATGTATTAATACAATAAAAACAATATATTTGTTGATGACATGGTTTTCTAAGCTCAGGTAATTTGTCCCAGTCTATCTCCTACATCTACATCACAGCGTCTCACTGCTATTATGTGCATATTAATGGTGTTTCCGTTCGTGTGGGAGCTCACCGGTCTTCTTCTGCGTGTGTCTCTTCCCAGCCTCTCTGAAAGCCACCAGGGCCCTGAAGTAGGCTCGCAGTACCGCCCAGCGGAACGTGGCCGACGGGTCGATGCCCATCAGCCCGCAGATGAAGGCGTTCTTGCTGCTCTTCAATAAAGCTACGATGTCCGGACGCATGTGGTCTGTGTTCTTCTCCCTGAAGTCCTGTGAGTGGCAGAGATTTTAAAAAAATGGTAGTCAATGGTATTATATGTGGATTTTATTAGATCCCCGTTAGTTTGTGCCACAGCAGCTGCTAAATGTCCCGGGGTCCGCACATTAAAAGATGTCCAAATAAAACATTAGCGCAATCACGAAAGAAGGTTTTAATTAAAAGCAGCTGTTCTTAATGTAACAATATCAAATCAATGACAACACAGTCAGTAATGTCAATAAAAGTTTAAAACTACCTCATGTAATATAAACAAAATAAAGGCAAAGAGTGTGCACAAACAACAGCTAATAATCACAACAATACAGCTACATTTACGTACACAACCATCTGTATAAGTCGTGAAAATATAATCGGATATATATCGTCATATAGTCCGATTTAAATACATTTGTATTTGTTTTTTAAAAGAGTGAAATCTTGTTGAATACTGATGGGTAACTTGTATCTGTCCACAGAAGCTCTAACTGAAAACAAGCAGAATGGCATGAAATCTGGCTTTAACGGAGAGCCATGACAGTCAATTATCAAATCAATAATACTAGTATGGTGTGAACAACTAAGAAGAAGAAGAAGAAGAAGCAGCAGAATGAAGAGGATTATTACTGTAGCTTTAATAAGGTTGTGATGATGATGATGATGATGTGTCTGAACAACTTTTTCTCCCACAACATAAAAACCCTGAAAAACAAAGCTGCTCTTTCCCTTTCCTTTCCGTCTAATCAGTGACTCGTGAGGAAGTGGGGGATCACACTGACCTTGACTCCGTACTTGACCTTGCCGGCATAGTGTCGGATGATGAAGGCGGGCTCCATGACAGCAGGGAACTCGATGTAGCTGTTCCCCTCATGCTGCCGCTTGAATTTATCCAACAACGTCTGGTTGGTGGCTTGAGGGAAACTGAAACAGAGGAGGACAGAGGAGTTTGATTTGGGTTTTTAACATTTGTTTTAAGCATCATGAATTAAAGACATTACTTTTTCCACCAGTCACAACAACAGCACTTAATGTGGACCGCTGGGAACGCGGCAAGTTATCCGATTTGTAACCGGTTTTGACATTTCATCCTCTGACGCCACAGGTTGGGGATTATCACTTTAAACTGATCTCGGCTCAGATTTCCCTCCAGTCCTTTAATATCAAGAGTCGGCGATTCTGCGGAAAATCAGCAGCTTACAGGAAGAGAAGAGGGGAAGAATGAGACACCGGGGGCTTTTGGAACAGGGTGAAACCTGAACTATGAAGACTACACAGCCAAGGACACAGCCAAGGCTTTTCAAAGTGGGAGGAATTTGATTCAGTGGAGAAGAGGGAGAAATAAAGGAGGAAATACTGTTAGTAAAAAATAGTCCCATTACAGTCATGAACCTGAAGGGATCAAATTTACTCTGCAGTTTAGAGGGTTTACATTCTAGGCTACTTTATCTTTCCCTGTTGTAATTTGGTTAACACATTAAAATGTACCTATTGTTTGAAATGTGACAATATTCCAATTATGTGCAGAATCGTTATCGTACACACTTAATATTGTTGCGTGTCTAGAGTGAGCAGTAGGTCAAACTGATTTCTCACTCGCCTTTTTTGTTATTGTGAATGTTTGTTGACAAAGGGGTGATAAAAACAAACAAACAATGTTTTATTTGCAGTTTGCATAAAGCTTGTAGAAAGTCGCTGAGATGAATTTAAAGCTCTGAATCAGCTCCTCTAGGTAGCATGTGTGTGCATCACTCCCTATAAACTCCAGGAATCACACAGTTGTATCTGGTTAAGCTTATGATGTAGACGTCTGAAGCCTTGATATTGTGGCCACTAGGGGGCAGAAAAACTGAGGAACAAGCTGACAGACATGCCTGGCATACTGCCCAACTCATGAGGTTAATAAAAAAACTGTCAACTCATATTTCCGGCGGACATGGAGCATTTCAATGCGGTGCTTCAGGCCTCCTGTTGCATGAAAGTCAGATATGCATTTTCACTTTATCTCTGTTCATCTCTGTCTCGGTCAATAGATGCTAAATATTCATCGTTCTTCACCAGCTAGTCACTTAGTCTGTCTTCCACGTGGTGCCATAAAACCAAAACATTCAGAATCAGAATCATAAATGATTTATTGCCAAGTATGTTTGCACATACAAGCAAGTTGATTTTTGTGATTGGTGCATGAGGCAATGGGCAATAGTATAAGACATGATAAAAATGTAATCATAAAAATGTACGATAAAGGACCTGAAAGAGGCTAAAGAGCTCTGCAGGTCAGAAGAGTTATTTATTATGTTTTAATACAAAAACATATATGCAGCCGCAGCACTCTACAGTGCTGTGCAAACATGCATGTTCTACGGCTCACGGATGCCATTTTGGAGTTTTTTGTTTGCGTTTTTGGCGTTATCTAACAGCTGGGAGTATAACGACGGACAGTAGTCTATTACTGCGTTTCAAATCACATACTGTTTCTTTTTACTTTTAGTACACACTGTAGCTGCCCTTACAAAGTACTTACTGTCACATGCAGTATGAGCTAAATTGGGACATACTACTTCGTCGTAACATTGCGTCTTGAACTTTGACCCTCTTGCTCATTGTGCAGAAGATTGTGGGTCAGAATAGACATAAAAGTGCGGGAGCTTGTATACTGAAAAATGTGACCGGATGCATTCGAACATTCTGGTATTTTATATCCAACCCTTTTTCTGGCATTCTTAACAGTTTGGTAGTATGGGCATTGGTAGAAGCCCCCTGCTCGCTATAATCAAACCAGGCACATGGCACTTTTTATGATGTTGCGTTTTCACCATTCAACCATCAGGCTTGCCCGCCAACTTAGCTTCAACCTGTTGGAAGCACTCAACGGTTTACCTCCCAGGAAAATGAAACAGAAACAAACCAGTCAAACAGGAAGCCGGACGGGCTGAGAGACTCACTTGCACTCTTCATCCAGGAGGTGGAACAGAGCTGTGGGCTTCTTGCTGATCAGGTTGATGCAGCCCGTATTGTCGATGTAGTCGATGTTGTGCCAGCTGATGCCCTCTACCCTGTATTCCTCCTGCAGGGACACACAAGATACAAACAGAGACCTCAGTGTCAGTATTAAAACTTTGCTTCCAAGCATTGTAAGTATATGTGGCATCAAAAATGTATTCACTATCAACGTGCAAACCGGATGTATGTTTGGCTGTTTTACATTTTTCAATCAAAGCAACAATGTTGTTTGTACGCCTGCTTTCATGACATCTCCCCGTCCAATAAAACACTCTTCAGATCTTTCCTGGCATCTCGCTGGTTTAATAATGAAAGAAGCATTCAGAGCATTTATCATTTATGCTTCCCCATGCATGTTATTGTCCTGTGTTCCTGGGAACGAGATTTAACCAATAAAGACCTTAATCCTGGGGAGGTTTAATAAAAATCACTGGAATCCCCCGTTTCTCTCTTCTCTTCTCTTGCTACCATAAAGTCCGAAGGCTGTTAATCACTGTTGTTTACTCCACAACTGAAGACAATAAAGCTGACGGAAAAGAATAAGAGAAGATGATCCTCTTCTTCAGTATTTGGTAAATAAAACCAAAATAATTGAGTGGAAGAGAGGAGAAATTGTCTGTATGACTTCCGCAGCTGCCCACTTATGTAGAAAAATGTTTGACATTTCATTAAGATTACAACCGTTTGAGAGAAACGTTCTTTACCTTTAGCAGTGATTTGTAGTTTGTGTTGCTGAGATCTCTAAATACAAACAATCCAACAGATTCCACTGGACTCCGATCAATAAAAGATATACTCAACTGTTTTTAAATCAAGATATCCTTCAACACCGACTTGTTCTGTACTTTAGAACAAATTTGAGGTACATGTACTTTACGAGAGTATTTCCATTTTATGCTACTTTCAACATTTCAAAAGGTAAATATTCTGCTTTTTACTCCACTACATTTATTTGATACTTTCACACGGTTACTTTGTACATAATTGATTTGCTTATATAATATGATGCAGTACTTTGCTACTAATAGACCCAGTAATACACAAAGTATCTAGAATTGGCTCTACATTGATAAACTACAACGTTAAAAGGCTCTTATGTTTATTTGTTAGTGATAAAAACAGAATGATATAATATTCTATAATAACATAATACTGTGAGAAGAGCCAGTCTGCAAATGAGTACTTTAACTTTTGATAATTTAAGTACATTTAGCTGAAAATACTTTCGTACTTTCAGTTGATAACATTTTGAATTCAGGACTTTTACTTGTGATGGAGTATTTTGAAACGATATTATATCTACAGTTACTTAAGTAAAAAATCCAATTACTTCTTCTACCGCTGAAAACCAAAAATCCTAAGCATGGTTCTTTTTTTTTAAACTTTTATTGAGAAAACAGACGCAGTCCTTTACTCACTGTTTAATATGCTGCTGTCTTAAATGCCTTTTTAGAGAAACAGGTTAAAAAGGGAATAAAATAAGGTACAAACAAAGGTAAGTGAGTCATTTTTTAACTGCTTTCTGTTGTTCAGTGTCGTCTGTTGACTTTTAGTTTAATGTCTGGCTGCAAACCAAATTTCCTCCTGGAGAACAACAAAGTCAAAGCTGAAGATCAGGTCCGTCTTTTCATCCCGTCACAATATCAACCTGAGTAACTTACTAATGGCAGGTTTTTACTTGTGTGTCTTTTAATAACACCCGAGACACACACACACAGTCTGGAAACTATAAACGCAACACCTGTGCAGTATAATCCAATACAACGGCTCTGGAATAAACGTTTGTGAGCCTTATAACATTCAATTTGTGTGTCAGATGGGTGCTGACTCAAGTCTTCGGTAATCACTAAGCTGTGGTTTGTCGGGGTGTTGTTTTGGATTGCATTATATTACACAGGATACAGTATCCGCCCCCCCCGACATGCCTTTAAATCATCTAACAACCGCTGTGATTCACTCTTATTTTGACTATAGCATGTTTCCTAAATGAGCCGAGTCAGCATCTGCACTACCGCTCTGCAGGTTGTCTTCCTATTTTGTTCACAGTTGGTGCCAATAGCGTGTTATCAATTTATCCCTATAATCACGTTATTATTGCCAAGTCATGCCATGCCTCTGTCTGTAGCAACTAACTGAAGTTATCTCATGATTATACTGCAGAATTATAGTATAAATATTATCATACTAACAATCTATTCCTCCATTTAATGTCTTTGAACAATGTGATTACTGGCGGAGAGGTCGTTTGAAGAGGTTGGAAAATAGACCAAAATAAGAAAATAAGTACTATTCCCCCTAAACGTGACCATCGCTGTGCCCTGAAGCAAACCATTCAGCCCATCACTGCTTCCAACAGAGTGACTTACTGGTCGACAGATGAATGGAAATATACGTATGTAACTGTAGACGAGGGTGTGAAGCTGGCTTCAGCGGAAATATGAAGCATTACAGCTCTTGGTCCACTTATCCTGGTTGAATCATTTTCAGAGGCTTTCGGGCTGCCTCAGTGTTGCACATCGGTTTTTCCACACACAACTAATGCTTTACAGTAACGTCTGTCGGCCATTGGGAATTCATGAGCTCTCCAGTTTTCCTCTGATCAAGTCTTTAGCGTTAAATGTTATCAATCCACCAAACCACGTTAATTTTGTTAGCAGATTCGAGAGATTGTAGCAAAAATGTTGATTTTATTCTCTCTTATAAAATCCAGGATGTCTGATAGAAAACGTGAACGTAGTGGCAGTTTGATCATTGGAAAAGTTTATAAATCAATAGCAGAACACATTCACTGTTCACGTGCAGAGTTACTGGGTGTTCGTGGGGGTCAATATATTGAAAAATTAGGAAGCGGGTGGACATATGTCAGCTCAAAGTGCTCACACAGACAGTGTATGGGAGCCTACAAGATACAATATGGACAAGCAGACATACTCAAAGTACAGTAAGGTTGCACTAATCCAGGAGAAGAAGTAAAGAACGGTCACTTCTGGTGTTTTGTTCATTTTCCAGGTGAAAAATAAAAACACTGCAAGGAACCACTCTATGACACTATCAATTGTTCCTCGGTCCATTCTGTCCTATTCGGCATTCATTTCAAAACAAGATTTTCTTGTTTGTTGAGAAAGTCCAGTAATTCTGTGAAAGATCTAAGATATTCTCTGGGACACGATCCTAAACTACGACGTCACCTTCAACTTCCTCCTCTTGGCTTGAGTGCATTTTTTTTTGTCCACATCTATACACATCTTTATGACACGAGGGCAAGACAGGATTTGTGAACAACTGCCTTTGTACGAAACCGGAAAGACTTGAGGACACTCGCGTGATATTCAGGAACAGCCCGTCCAACATGTTAGGGCAGGTCCGCTGATTCAGTCGGTCTCAAGGTACAACACAATGTTTAACTTATACGCAAATCTTACAGATCATGACTTTGAAAAAGCCTTTTGAAGAGAATCAGCTTACTGAAGAGAACATACATCCTCAGTCGGGGTGTTAACAGGGAGGGAGAGTTGTGTCGACTGTCAGCAGCCCTGTTGCATAATCTGATGAAGAATTCCTGCATTGTTTCAGTGTCATTGTAATGTAAGTGCTCTGCCTGGCGTGATAAGCATGAGGGGTTTCCTTGAAAATGGTCACAGCCAAAGAACTTGGGCTGATCTACGATATCTTAAATCAACAGTAGCTCAGCGGTTCAGCTCCCAGTCAGAGCCTTAAACCGGAATCCAGCTCCGACGATTTATCGGCCCTGAGACGGAAGGATGTTTAAGAGATGTCTTACTTGTTCGAGCTTGAAGATGTGCTGGTTGAAGTAGTGCTGGAGACGCTCGTTGGCGAAGTTGATGCAGAACTGCTCGAAGCTGTTGTTCTCGTAATCCTCAAACCCAAAAATGTCGAGCACTCCGATGGACAAGATCTGAGGCAGACGGACAAACGAAAACATGAGAAAAATACATTTTTCATACAAAAAGTTACGGTGACGGTTTTTAAACCAGAATTTCATATGTAGTACGTGAATCAATTTAAGTGACAGTTATTATTCTGAGATTTTCTTATTCAGGCGGCGAATGTAAAAGTCGGTGTGTTTGTGTCGTCCCACCTTGGTGGTCTCCTCCAGGTCCTTGATGTTGAGCAGAGCGTGGTTGATCCTGAAGACGATCCAGTCAAACAGAGCACTGTAGAGGGACTTCGCCATAGAGTCTCGCACCGTACCAGCCTGCACGTAAAACACATGAAGCACATCTTTAATGTTGCTCCCAATCCTAATATCTCAGCTGACAACGTTTGATTAAAGGGGAACACCAGCTAAATCAAGAATTAAAATATGTTATTTCGATGTATTACAAATATTATATGTGTCCGTCAAGAAATAGTGCAACCATAAAACCATAATACGCTAACCGGCTGCTAGCTCTCGCTTCAAATTGACCGTACACACATGAAAGTTGTACCGATCTTGTTATCTAACTGTCAGCAAGAAAACAAATGGCCGTTATTCCCCTAAATGTCCAAGTGAAGTTTATGATGCTAATTAGTGCAGAGCCAGAGGTTTGACATCATTCCCGAGTCACCTGCTCACTCTCAATGCTCCACACATCTGTAGTACACATTAGAGCTCGGCCTTGTGACGCTGCACTTTTGTACAGGCCCAGGATACAGAAAAAAACAAGTGACTGGAGGCATTTAAATATTGAAAGGATAATGGTTTCATATTGATGTCAAAGTGTCTCAGACAACACTGGCTCGGTTATTTAAAAAGAAGTCGAGATGTGCAGACGGTTGTATTTCTCCTTTATATCCAAACATTTATAGTTTGAGTGTAAATCACATTCTCACTGAACTGTCAGCCGCCACTGCACTCAGAGCTCTAACTGGAAAAATGTATAACAGCCCTAAAAAAGGTAAAAATTTCATAAACAGGAGAAACCAGACAACTCTACCCGTCTCCAGCGTTCATTTTCTACTGAAACTTTGGCACAGACAAGCTGGCAGACGGCACTGCATCACAGCCGGAGGTCTCTGTGCCGTTACTAATGTCCTTACCACATCAGGTTGACTCGCCAAACCCATCGAGTGTGGCACAGACAGTGTGATCTGTCGAGCACCGTTGGACGAGGCTGCAGAATGTTAAACTTTCAGTCATGCCCTAATGGAAATATTATCTTTCATAGGCTAAACATAGACTGTATATACTAACAGCTCTCCTGCTGGGAAGAGCAGCACGATATTCAGATGACAAACATTAAATATATAGTAGATAAAGAAGAAGATATAGAAATAATAGTGTGTTCATTTTTATAAGCAGGGAGATTACATGACAGAAGCTTCCTTGTCAAATTATTGGGAAAAAATGTTCTAATTCCCTTATCCGCTGGAAAGATTTGACCTGGCTGCAGCAAAAGTGAGCCGTAGTGTTCAGAAACCAAACAAACCATGAAGTGGCTTCTCACAGTTGAAATCCCTTTCTTTCTAAATAATTAACAGGGATATTTTTAGCTAACCCCAAAAGCAAATATGCCTTCCACGAGTCGGGACAGATATTTTTTTGAACCTCATACGTACTGCGGTCTAATGACCCGTGAGCTTTTCATTATTGGGAGGAAGTTGGACTAAAAGTGCTCAGACAGAAACAGCCTCATAACTCTGACCAAATAGAGAAAACTCATCACACAGACGCTCCGATTCCTTTGAGGTTCTTTGACTGTATGATTTCAGTTAACAGGCAATGAGATTGTTGTGACTGTTGGAGCAATATTTACACAGAGACCACCCAGTGAGCTTCCAAAACAATCACTGTTTGTTCATTTGAAATGCCTCCTAAATATATCCAACAGGCCATTACGAGGTTGTACGTGTAACATGGCGACATCTTTTGGGAGAGTTTGTGTTGAAATGCTGCTGAAATCTGGGTAACTATTGCGAGTGATTTACCCTGGAAAATACGAAAATGTTTTAACAGTATTCACTGTATGTGTGCGGGAAATATTTAACATTTGGCATCACTGGAATATGAAACATATAAGGCATCATGAGAACTTTAAAAGTTAACTACATCTGTGTGCATGTGTAAAAACATCTCCGTTCAAACTGACTGGCGTGTTCCAGTGTGTATCCATGTTGTTCTCCTCTCCCCTCTCAGATGGCTTTCATCTGCAGACCGTGACGCGTGTTTGTTTTCAAAGAAACCCGTAGAGGGACTTGAAATGCCTTCCCCCGTCTCTCTAAACACACTGAAGGACTCAGTGCATGTGTGTTTGTCAGTGTGTGCTGCAGTGAGTGCGTGTACATGTGTGTTCATGCGTGGCCACAGGCAGGAGGAGATCCGGTCCTGGTGCACGCTGTCCTGTAAACACGGCCGGGTCAGACTGAAGAGACGAGGCTGCGGCGCCGTTATTGAGTTGGCAAAATGCCTTTAGTCGCTTTACCGAGTGTGATGCTTTATTTAAACTATTTAAAAAAATGCTCAGTTATACTCCTGAATCTTTAGGTCTAATTCAATACTACAGTATACAATACGCACCACACACTAATCACTAATCAGAGTTTACTGTGAACCGTGTTATACTAACAGGAAGTGATACAATACTCCATTGGATGTCAGAAAGTAAAGTATTACCACGGTTAACTTTACCTGGTCTACTTCTACTTAAGTAGCACATTTGTTGTTTTTATCACCTTTAAAGTCTCTCCCTGTCTGGGACATTTAAATGTTGCTGCTTTTCTGCATCCTGCATGCCTAATTTCACCAAGCTTAATACGTGCTTTGATATTTAATGCTAGCACAGCTACGGGAAGGAGAGTCTCACCTCGGAAAGTTTGTAAGGAACGATCAGCTTCTCTCCGACGGTGATTGTCTTCCGCGTTGTCAGAGCTTCAAACAGCATCTCTTCTTTGACCTGTCGATCATGACAGCGAGAGAGAAAGTGAAGGGAGTTTAATCTGATGACAAACCCTTCATTTAATTCAATGTATTTGTGTGTACACTTGTATCCAAAGTATTAGCAACAGTGTGTGCTTTGACCACAGAATCCTGGATCATCGTGGAGTTTTGATATCCGACACTTTTTATTCAGGTTGCCTTTTTATCTTTGACAGTGTTTAAGTAATCGTGTGCAGGTTGACAGCTTGAAGAAGTGCTTTTACAAATCTACAGCAGCAACAAAAAAAATGTCTCTTCATAAGTTAACACAAGTAAAGGTGAATCATGGCAGTTCTGCACAGGCTTGTAATAAGGAAGGTGAATACGACTATAATCTACTAAATTGGCAAATGATGTAAAACATGTTAAACCACATTTCTAGGAGGATATCAAACTGTCACTTGTGTTGTTAACATTAAGGCCTCGTGTGTATTTTTATTTATTAAGTACTTCAGGCTCCAACTCAAGTTTAAGTCAAACTTTATCTTGAGAGTAACATGATGACACAAAGATGACACATTACGTGACTTTATGGATTTTAATGGTAGACTGTGAGACGAAGCTCAGTCACTTTGAAAGGACAGTCTTGTATGTGTGCGAGCGCCACAGAGGTAACAGTGGTCTGTTAAAGGTCACATTAAAATGACAGATAGATTCCCAGGGTACAAGTAAATGCTCGTGGGAAAGTCTTGTCGCACTTCATGTCCCTGAACTTGATTAATCAACAAATAGAATAATATTTATGGATAACTAAAAAAGCATTTTACTCTATTCAGTCTTTTACATCAGGCACCCATATTTAAACCAGAGTGACTTCTCGTCTTAATTTATGTCATATTCTGTTTGACAATACAAACAGAAAAGAAACAGTCAGAGCAGGAATATCATGTATCATTTGACACCACCTATTTTTTTGTATTTATATAAACACACATTTAGAGTATATGAAGCATTATTTTCGCCGTACCTCCAGCAGTTCGGAGACGACAGGCAGCATCTCGGGGTTACAGATGTCGATCGAGTCGTCCCTGTAGGTCTTCTTCTTGTAGCGGATGTTGCCCAGGTGAAGGATGGCCGACAGCAGGCAGAAGATCCTAAACAACAGTTCAGGAAACGTTCAACTTATGAACAAATCCTTACAGATGAGGTGGATCACTTATTGCGGTCTTGTGTGTGTGTGTGTGTGTTACTCACTTTTTGCGCGTGGAAGGAAGAAAGCCCACCATCTCCATGGCCAGCTGAAGCCTCTCGAAGTCATGCTTCAGGTCTTCTCCTTCGACTGTGAAGCAGTCCTGCAGAAAAGAAAAAAGAAGCAGCAACCAGGTGTCATCAGGTTCACAGGAGCTGTTACGACACGGCCGCCTGAAAGCCAAAAGAGCTAATGAAGGACTTTACTAAAGACTGTTGACATACACAGTGCCCAAACACTGTGTCCAACAAAAGGTGCCTAAAATAGTTTTTTAGTTTACTTGGCAGCCGACAAATAAAAAGCAGCAGAGTGGCCTGAAGCAGACGGAATGAATGACTCATGCTAAAATAAGCTATTATGAAGAAGCTCGGGGGTCAAACCCTCCAGTCTGGTGTTGCAGAGCGCGTGCACGTTCTGCTCATGTCGTGGAAAATCCCTTTAAACCAATCCACAGAATATTGGCGAGCTGGTAAAAAAGGAGCTGAGAAGAGGAGCGGTTTACGGGTGTTCCTGTGTTTGAGTGATGGACGACGGGCCGAACGAGCAGAGAGGAGACACAGCGGGAGTTTGTTCCTCTCAGGAAGGCGCTTACATGCACAAGTTCTTACAAGGCACATGTAATACATGTGAAGTGCAGATCTCATTGACAAGATGTGAATAATACAGTGACTACAATTAAAATACTTTGTATGAAATACTGCAGCTGGAATATTATTTAACAAGCAAACGCACATGAGCAGGAGTAAACTCGTGGATAAATCTGGATCTGGATTAGTTGTTTATGACAAGAGGAAGAGCTGCAGACCAGGACCACATGCTTTGATGTAACTACGTCGTTCAATGCATATACACCCAGCGTAATGCGAGCTCTGCTCTTTGCTTTGTGGGCCCATTCCACTACGGCTGCCATAATTATCACATACCGAGGCCTCAGAAAGACAAACACTCTAAACACGGGACTCACACTTACACCGACGTGCCTCCGGCTTGCCGCCCTCGCTCTCTGCTTTCATGGCAGAAACTTACACTCACCTGTTAGTGACTCTGGTGTTACGATTGTAGAGCAGGAAAATCTACATCTATGTAAAAAGGTGTTTGTTGACCCCAGATGATGTAAATGTTTTATAAATTAAACAAAACATTACAAAATCACCATATTCATTCAAATTCATCAATATATATCCTTTGTCGACATATATTAATATAATTACTTTCCTTGATGTTTTGGTAAAAAAAAGGTGAAATTCATAAAGTTAACTGGAATATATGTTAATTCCTTCTTATATTGTTCCTCATATGGACCGTGACTGCAGGGCATATCCCACTGCTCACAGCATATTTATAGTAATTTATATTCAGAAATTCTGAACTTAAATAAACTACTATCATGTATATTCACAAATACAATTACCTTACTGAGATAGAAGGAGTGGAAAATTAATGGATTAATCAAATGTATCTCAAGAATAAAAGAGCACAGTTACATGAGTTAATAAACAGAAACATTAACGACCACCACAAAAACAACACAAATCACAAAAGACTTTTCTGATCATTGACATCATTCAATCAAAGTATTTCTGCTGCAGGGTGTGATTTGAATCTGATCCATTGATTGAGAGGTGAAGGTGTGTCTTTGGGCAAATGACCTGAGGCAACATAGAGGAATGAGCGTGTAAATACACTGCAGCTCAGCCACTAACTGGTGAACAATGGCACCAGGCTGTGACTAAACCTCAGCGCATTACTCAAACACTTACACAGACCTTATGGCTGCAAACAAATGATGTTCTATTCAGGGAACTTATAGTAGAGGTACTGTACTTTGAGACCTTATGAACCAAGTCAAGTCTCAAGTCTTTAGAGAGCAAGTCCAAGTCTTAAGAGGGTTAGTCCAAGTCCTAAGAGCAAGTCCAAGTCAAGTTTCAGCTCCATAAGGGGTTTGTCAATTATTTTAGAGGGCAAATCCAAATTAAGTCTCAGGTCTTTAGAGGGTTAGTGTAAGTCTTTGGATGGTGCAAGTCCGAGTTAAGTCTCAAGTCTTAATAGGGAAAGTTCAAGTCTTTAGAGGACAAGACCATTGCTTTAGAAGGTCAGTCCAAGTCTTTGGAAGGCAAGTCCAAGTCAAGTCTCCAGTCCTTGGAAGGAGAGTCTGAGTCTAGTCTCAGGTCTTTAGAGAGTCACAACTTTAATTTTGCCCCGGTGTAAATTCTTAGTTTGATTTTTATATTCTTGATAAATGTCAAAGACTTGAAATACTTTGAACTCTATGTTACCCACATTTGTTTGTGTAACATAGTTAGGACTTCATTGTCAGCATGGAGGATTTCACTATCACTACTAGAAAACACTGCACAGTCAATGATCAGGTTACAGCAACAAAGGCATCTACAGTGGCCAGGATATGACTAGACATACCAACATAAGTCACGGAGGAAAAGCAAAAACAAACAATGCGGAAATAAACACCGAACCAAACCAGCAAATATCCACAAAGCAACAAAATGAGCAGGAGGGGGAGGACGGGGGTGTGCAACTTGTGCAGGGAAAGTGTGGCAGCTGCAAGTGCTCGGGTGACAAAAAAAAAACAAAACTACTTGTTGAGGTTTCTCCAACACGTACAGACACACGGACGTCACACACACACAGATACTGACCCCTTCACTCTCACAGTAACTGTCCCAGTGCAGTTGGTTGGTTGACTTTGTCATCTGGAAATGTTAAGGCAGAGTTTACAGGAGGGCGAGGTGATGGTTAGACAGAAGCATTCAAATTAAGTCACATACTGCACAATTAAACACAGATGTATATGCAACTAACAGCAATGGAAGGGACGTGCTGTTAAGATGCAAGCAACGGCTGAGCTTCACAGCTCTATTCATTAAAATACAGACAAATATCAAGTAAACAGTCCGACGTAAGTCAAAGCACAAGGACACTGAAGAAGAGAGATGTATGCACACAAATCATGTTCACAGAGACTAAACAAGCACATGTCATGATTGAACACATCGAGTCATTAAAGCAGGATGAGGAGGAGGAATGAAAGCGGCAGATTTGTAACACGCATGGACATTAAGGATTCAGAATGAATGATTGGCTTTGCTTTACTTTAAATCACAGCTGACTGTATTTTTGAGCAATAGTGTTTATGATTGATTTCCTACCTTCAAGGGTAAACTTGCACATTAAACTTACATGCGATATGAAATCTACCACAGTGTACAACCTCCATTTTAGGTTAAAGTAACTATTGCATTGCATGATGTTCCAGTTTGTAAGCAGGAACTGTTTTGAAATTCTTTTCCAGGTCTGTTCGGAAAGCCAGCACCATCTGGGATTTCAGAATCTGCCGTTGAAAGCGACATTAATTACCAGATAATCTTGAATGCCTTTCTGGCACGTCTTTTTAGCGTCCTATCTATTCAATGAAAAGCATTTTAGCAGCCTGCCAGGGTGTCCTTAAATGCACCATCTTCAAGAGTTTTTCTTACAGACGTTAATGTAACTTTGGAAAAGAAAAATAAAGAAATTCTTCGCTGCAATTGATTGATTTCATATTTTAAGCATCTAAAGAAAGTCTCTGCACAATAATTTTCATTTACAATTTAAATTAATCAGATCTAATTGTTGCCACAAAATGAGGAAATCAATCTAAAAACCTACGGCTTGCTTTGGACATTGGCCAGTTAAATGTACATTTGTGGTTAATTGGCCGATTAACAGATGCAAACCCACGTGCTGTGATCTTATGAAGGAAAATACAGAAATAGTTACAATTAAGGGCCAAGGTGTGAAAAATGAATAACTGGGGGGGAAACAGCCATAACTTTACTTAGACTGTAAACAAGTTGTGTTGATTGTGTGCACAGGAGATGTTGTGAAATCCATGCAAGAGGTCCAACCTGTACAAGAGTTTGGTTTTCTTTATGTAAACTCAGAATACACAGAATGGGAAAGAGGAAGAGAGACACAAGAGACGGGTAGAATAAGAACAGAGTGCAAGAATGGGTGAGTGCTTTTATGTATGCATGTGTGTTTGTGTGTTTGCATGTGGCCGGGAGGAATGGAAGGAATTCCCTGCTCTCTTCTGCGTAGGCGTAAAGGATTTAGGAGGGGAGCAGGTCCCTGGCTGTCACGGTGTGACTGTCAAAGCTCGGAGGGAACAGGCGCAACAAGTTTTACACAACATCCACATTCCATACATGCAATGTGTGTGTGTGTGTTTGTTTGCTTATCATGGCTTTGTTTTATGGTTATGTGAAACCTGTTTTCGCTGTGTGTAACACAAGCAACGAAGACAAGGGACGGATACTGTTTGTTTCTTTTGTCTTCGTTTGTGTTTGTCGGTGATGGTGTACGGATGACGATGTGTGAGTGCATGTGTCAAAATGTAAATGGAGACCAAAGTGTGTGCAAAACAAACACACATGTGAGTTACAGTTACACCCACAAAACACAAATGAATACACAATCTACTGAACTCAAACACACAGACAGGTTTGAAATAAAACGCGTCTCCAGAGATTAGTCAGCTACATGCGTTGTTCATATGTATGTGTGACAGAGAGAGAGGGACTATGTAGCCTGTGTTGAAAGCAACCAACAGAGGAATGTGTTTCCTTTGTGTCCTGATTTCTCTCTTTTATCCTGTTTGCAGAGACACAGAGGTAAACGTGCTGGGGTCTAACGACTGTTCGATGACACTAATACAGACACACACAACTCTGACCATGTATTAACACTATGACAAAAGCATAAGACAAAGCAAAACTCATAAAGACACAAAAAACTCAAATTCACAGCAAGTATAAAACAAAACCAGGACAGATTAGTTGTTAATCTCATTTTTTTAAATAAAGTTTATTGTGTTGTGAGGACCCACCTGACTGAGGTAATGGTATTCTTCAGGCTTCATGAGGTGGAAGGCCTCCCTCTCTTCTTCACTTGCTCCTGCCAGCAGGTAGTAAAACACGTGGTAGTTTCTAAAAACAAAAAGAAAACCATTTCCACTTACGGTTAGTTCCTGTAAAATTAAACTGATTACAAATATAATCTTCACTGTTCACTAATCAAAATGTGTGTTTTCGCCTGAGAACATCATGTTAATATGGGGACAAAAAATATTTTCTTCATGAAATGGTTAATTAGCTCATGTTTTCCAAAAGTAGAAACACTAACACTATAAGTTCAAATATACACATAACACAAAACCAAAGTGCAATTGGAGAACAACTTTGGTATTGTTAGATTCTTACAACTACGAATGATGTTGTTACCTAATGATAAAATAAATGGGGTTATTCTCTGTACAATGCTCATTTTAGCACGCCTTCAGATTCACATTTTAGTTTCCTAACGTCAGCATGTGAATAAGCCACCATGCTAACTACCAAAATGTTAGTTAACAGGACATTAATCCGGACTGCCAAGTGTTTCATTTAGTTTGGAGTGAGATTCTGTATAGTTGAAGTTGGTGCATTTTATGAGTTGAGCCCTCTGTGACATTACCCACCGCAGGGGTCGGGGGTCATCACTCCTCAATCCTCGGGAATTTTGTTTCAAAAGTTCAGCAGCCAAATTCACAGTTTTAAATCACTTATAAATGACAAGCCAAGTCAATAATCATGGTCAATGATAAATTGGTGGATGATCATTCTGAGGTCAGTTAAAAAAATGATGCCCTGAATTTGCCCTGGATTATTGAAATGACACATGCCGTTATAGCTGCATGGATAACAATGAACTTGTAAAGGTGAATTAATGTCAGAAGGGCAATGTAAGCATGTTAGCATGCAATGCTCGTATCAACTTCAACTAGAAAGAGAACACCGACAATGGAAATAGTGTCTTTTATTTTAGGGGTAACCTCTAATTAACCGATATGTTTGTGGCACTCAGTAAAACTTCAATGTGTTGCACCGTTATTGAATGCACTTCAACCACGAAGCTAACGCGGCTTAAACAAAAACAAAAACCTGGAAAAAGAATCATGAAAGCTCAGTTTGTTTATGTGTAGGACTGCGACTGTGTGCGTTTGTGTGCACATAGCTGCAGCGTAAAGGTTAAAGGGCAAAAGTGTGCAGCAGCTGTGCGACCAGGGTCCACTTGGAGTACACACACACACACACACACACACACACACACAAACAAGCTATTATGGTCCTGGAGTCAGCAATCCATCTCAATAAGAGGTGGCTAACGCCGGGGGCCCACTGTGAGCCCCCCATGGTGAGGTTAACCCTCACCAAACTGTCTAGCCGGTCCAACACATTAGTGTCAGCTCCACTTACAGCTCAACTCACTTCATGAATCACACTTCGGTAAACTCAAACAACAGGCTTTCTGATTTACATGCACTCTAACCTTTATTTTGTTGCCAAAATTCAAACTGCATTTATGTCATACTTGCTGCTAGCATTACTTTCTTTCAGCAAAGTGCAATTCAAATGTCTCGTGAGATTGAAAATTCAGGTTTGTGCAAAAAATTCCCAAACTAGTTTTGACATACTAAACATTAAACATAACTCATATTGACTTTAGTATTAATATATTGCATTGCTCAGAAGTGAAGTTGCCTCGACTGTAAGCGTCACTCCCTGCTTAACAAACCACACGTACTTCAGTTTTTGATTTTTATGATTATGCTCGGCTTGAAGTGCTCACCGCTCATTGTGCTCCTGATACACCAGCCTCGACTTCTCCAGCAGGTATTTCTCCACATATGCTCTAAAAAACAGGTCACACAATAAAATTGTTAACTTCAAAACATTATTTTTTGTTTCGGAAAATGAAAAGCATTGGTCTCTGGTTCCTTACCCTCTCACAGTTCCGCTCTCCTGGTAGTTCACCTGAATGAACTTGCCAAAGCGACTCGAGTTGTTATTGTGGGCTGTCTTTGCGTTCCCAAATGCCTGAAGGGGAAAGAGATAAAAACGTGATGAGACAAATACAAATAAATAGGAATAGGCCACATATTCCATATCATACACGCATAACAGAGGTTGGAGGTCAAGTTCCGAGTCGGCTTTAGGTGGGGATAGTTTGTTTGTGGGTCAAGCACACAGACTTTGGCCTCGTGCCAAACATTGTCTTGAAACACGGTCAGCCTGGACCACGCGGAGCGAGCTTTTCCTCTTGCACAGTTTCAAACAGCATCAGTTCGAGACAGATGATTAATAACATGGTTTTAGGATCAATTCAAGTCAGACAGACAAATTGCCAGAGTGGGGATGAAGGAGCTGGGGCCTGATGGAAAAAAAAAAGCTCCTCAGTGAGTAATGGGATCCATGTGGCCGAGTGGAACATGTGTAGTGGTTGTGCTTTAATAAGACGCTCCAGTATTTCCCCTCATAGCTCTGTTTATGTTGTATGGCTGCCTGGAGGGGAAGTCGTTTTTCGCCCTATATAAACCCTGCAGTTATTTGTAGCTCCGCCACAAGTAAACAAATTCCTCAGTGAATCACTTAGAGCTGCCCCGAGCCCTGCATCTGAGGAATGGGAAAACACCCCTCTCTGATCCCACCCTTCACCGACGCCGCTAACTAGCATACAAGCACGCTAGGACAAGGCCAATGGCAAGCTAATAGGCTACGTTGTAGGTCTTCGGGCTAATCCGAATGCACAAATTTGCAGCTGAGATTGAGTTCAACCATCGCCGAATTTCACTTGAATTTCAAAAACTTCATGTTTTGTTTCTGAGAGGGCCATGATTAGCAAGTACATTACTGCAATGGAACACAGAAGAAACAGCGAGAATGCATTTCTCTTATTCAGCTGCAAACGGCAGGCCATAGCATCACACGTGAAAGCAAAATTTACAAAATAACTTTGGCCGTGTAGCTAGCCACACAAGTCATATAAAACCACACTTAACAGCTTGTGGGTCGCAGTAGTTAACAGAGCAATATGGAGAGATAAAAAGAGAGGAGTGCGTTTGGATACAAGTGGCATTCATTTCCAAAACAATGCGGCTGAAGTCTAATTCACTCAAGGGAAACGTTGCAGATTTTTGACCGGCTCTGTGTTACTGCGGTAGAACATGCAGCTGAACGACCTCCGGATGAGAGTTTTACTGGCGGTCGACCAAGCGGAGAGCTGGGGCTCTGGCTGCATGAGTGGAGGCCAGGCGCCGTTCATCTGCATGTACTAGCCACGCTGCATTGACAATGAGCCGGTTGAAAACCTGCAAAGTTTCCCTTCCATCTCTCCCTCCTCCTCTTTGGCCTCTTTGGCCTCTCTCTACTACAGGCAGAGCCTGACTCAAACAACAGCAATGAACTCGGCTTTCATTTATGACTCACTGAGCTGAACAAATCATTAAAATGGGCCGACGCTGTGGAAAGACCGATTCCACACTGCCGTCTGGACAAGGAAAGAGCACCAAAGGTCAAACTGCAGAACAGTGACGGTATCATTTCACATCCAGAAATGTGGGTTTAAAATGCGATGCCTGATGCAGTCGATATTTCCAGAGGAGCTGGTGGTCTGTTCACCGCTCCATCAGTCTATGAACTGGCTGACCTGTCTGGTTCAGGAACTACAGGTCAGACGAGGACAGACTGTCAGGGTCCCTAAGAACTTCCTGATTGGACAGCCAATAAAAAGCAGCCACTCACAACACTAACCGCTCGCAGTCGTGTTGAGGAACTCGGGTCAGACGAGTCAGATATTAGACCTTCAGTGTTTGCTTGACATTTAACGCTTTGTGTTGGGACAGCAGGAAGCAGGATGTGGAAAAACTAAATTACTGATTTATGTTGAGACACTGTGTATTCGTCCACCTGGTCTGTGTAAAAAAGACCGACAGATAGACACATTTACAGCAGACAGTTCGCATTCTTTCTAAACTTTGGCAAGCTCCATATCAACGGCAATGAAAATCAACAGAAAGATATGTCAAAACTGAAACTCTGGAGGGGATGGAGTTTCTTACCTACACGCAAGAAAACATGAATGCACATGCAAAATAAACTGCCGTCATTAGGTCAGTGAACTAGTTAGTCACTGCCACGATCAATAAGATAATTCCATCATTTCAAATTCTAAGAATATGAGGCTTCCTTTAGAAAAAAAAAATAAGATTTTACTCCACCTACACAAACAACCCACAACAATGCAAATGTGCTCTTGCACCGTCTCCTACGGCAGTTGTCAAAAGTTATTCTGGTAAATCTAAGTCACTAACTCGAGCTCAAGTAAACAGTGCAGGTTGAGGTGAAGTGATTTCTAACATACAACAGCAGATTATTTTCCCCCCTCGAATGATGACAAAGACTGAAAGCGACACCAGAACTAAAAGGGTTCGTACAGACAGTGATTCTCACCACTTCAGTCACTCCAGCAGGTCAACAACATTATTCTTGGCTTCAGACCACAGACCAATGACAGACTTGAGATGGTGCCAGTGTGTTCTGAGTGTAATGTGTCCACAGGCTCGGTCAGAGTCGTTGGGAGGAAGCACGGACCGAGAGGATGCCACAAGGCCGATGTGATGTTTTCATAAGTCTGTCGATCCTCGTTTCTACAACTGGTCAGCTGTGTTGAATACTGTGGTCACTGTGAGAAAAACCTTTTAATTAAATCAAGTCTTTCAGTTGCAGCTTTCAAACTCAATCAACTTTCTTCAGTCGGGGTAGTGACTAATCCCAATCAAGATCCAGCTCTTTCGTTACAATTTTAAATCCGTTCAGAGCGGTTGTTCGCTGGTTATTTATTTATTTATTCTACCAAGTCATAATTTCTATTTCTGAACGATTGCTTTGGAAGAAGGCGTATAAAATTGTGCTCTTACATATTTTGTGACGACACAGAAGAAGAAAGATATTTCATTAGGACTTGATCCTTTGAAGAGGTCTCATATGATGTACAAGGTCAACGGGAAAATATTAATACATACGTCTCTTTTCTAGGAAATCAATTAAGACTTCCAGCGCCGCCTCACACAGAGGCAATCAGTTCTATTCTATTATTGCTTCGGTCTGTAGCGAGGTAATTAGGTCTCCATCTGCCGTTGTGTGCTCTGACTCATGCAGTGTAAAGACATGTGGCTTTTAATCACATGAGGATGACTTCATTAGCAGCTTCTTGAGGAGAACAGAGGAGAGTGGAAACGGGGAAACAGACTGTTGTCAAGTGTGCAGGGAGTTTTTCAAAACGGACGGAGGGGTCACGCCAGGCGCTCAGAGACAAAGTGCGGACGAAAAGCTGCTTGATTAAACTCACAAAGGGATTATCTTTCAGTAAGTCATCAACTGCTCGGGGGGTTACAAATTAATTTCCACGCTGGGTTGTGTTTAGAGGTCGTGTGACAGCGCGGCCCTAAACGATACACAGACAAAAGCTTTGTCTGAATTTCAAAGACACTTAAGTGAAATGAGCCATGGGCTGAAAACAGCATTCTTCAGACTGCAAATTGATTTAGGAAATTGTCACCAAATTGTTCGCATTCCTTCCCTGACAGTAGCTACGAAGCAACCGTGTGGTTCAATGGTTACTCAAGAGCCATTGCTCATTTGACCTCCGTAGATTCATATCCTTTCCTGAGCTCGTTACCAGAATGACTCATCCACCACAGTATGTGGTCAGGATGTCAACAATAAGAGAGAAAGGGCCAGCGACTCGGCCCAACATGTATCACCGTTATGTCACGGCGTGTGTGGGCAGATAAACGCTAGACGCTAATTCCTGACCGTGCCCCTTGTAATGTCACATCTGAGGTCATGCTGACCAGAGTGGACTGTGGTCACTGTGGCTGTTGAATCATAGGGCGATCTGCAGTCATGGGGAGAGTGTAGAAGCCCGTGGGATGTGGGCTCTGGCTGCTTCTGTCAAAACAGTGTTTGAGGTGGGACGTTTAACCGTTGGTGTGAAATATTTAAGAGGCTTTTCTCTTCCGTGCAATAGGAGGATTGAACATATGTGAGCTTTTGTTTGAGATTCTTGTAATTCAGCCATTTAAAAAGAAAAAATACCAATGTTTGGGTGCAAGCAGGCGGCAACCTTCGGTTCTAGGTTCTCGGTTCAAGCGAGGCCGATGTGGAAGAGCCGTAAACTTGCATTATTTCCAATGGCCAACAGGGGGCGACTCTTCTTGGTTGCAAAATAAGTTTAGAATGTATGGAACTCTTTGAGAAAATGACTTCTCACTTGATTTATTACCTCACTAAACATCGTAAACATCAGTTTATTGTCTCAATCGCTAGTTTCAAGTCTTCTACAATACAGCATGATCTGAGTAAATTATGGTCCAATTTAGAGTAAAAAAGCATAAAAAGCAGGGTATTTTTAGGGCAGGCTAACCTTGGGATTGACAGGTAGCTACCATGGCGTCTCTACTACGGTGCAACTCCTAAGCAGTCCACATATGGTCACTTCCGTTCACTGGTTGCATTGCCAAAATTCAAGATGGCAACGGCCAAAAAGCCGTACTCCAGGCTACAAAACCGTAGTCCATAAATCAATGGGTCATGTCACAACGACTACAAAGACCAAGCTTTTTGTAACACTGCACTGAATCCTATATCGTCAGAAAAGCTGTCTTTCATAATTCTCCGTAAGATCATCATCACTCTGCCTCAAACACCCCTGGGATCAGATCTGATGGTCCAGTGAAACTAGCCGTACAGACGTCAAGCTTGACAGGTTGAGCAACTCTGGCAAGATGCGTCACGCTCGAATGAACTGCGATAATCCTCAGGGCTTTCAGGTTTACCGTTGTGTCCAAGAGAATTTTAGCTTCAAGTGTTTTTTTTAATAAAACCATAGTCACATCTGTTTATGCTGCATATTTCTGCGTGCACACTGATGTAAGAACATGCAGTTTACATCAAAGATGACATTTCACACACTACAGCCCGAAGGAAAAATAAATAAATAGGCTTCTTCTGGGAAAGGCATGACATCATCTAATGAA